TGTTAAATGGAATTTAAAAAAATGAGTAAAATTTCATATACAACAATTTACATGTAGAGCAATATGATTGAATTAGAAATTTTGTATAATGGGATAAATCTAGTTTCAGAAAAGACGGTTGTAGGCAATCTAGGGTTTATACCAAGGAAAATGGGTTGGGGTATTTTTTGTCTCACCTGTGATGAAAGTCATAGTATGCGAGACAGGGATTACTATCAGGCAGTGTAAACTATTTGTATAAGGCTTTATTTTTCAGAAGGTAGAAGACCTAGATGCTTCATATCTCGCATGCAGATATATACATTATGTTACACAGTTTCCGCCTGTCATATGTCCATTGCCCTTGACCTCATTTTCATGGTTCAGTGACTGCTTGAAAAAAAATGTTGTTTTTTGTCATGTATTTTCTCATTTATTATGAGTAATAGAATAACTATATTTGGTATATGGGTTCCTTGCAATGTCTAGATGCCCTTTAGACAGGGTTCACTTATGCTCAACCTCATTTCATGGATCAGTGATCAAGGTTAAAGTGAAAGTGATTAGGTCCATTTCTCAGATACTATAAGCAGTAGGTCAACTATGTGTTGTGTATAAAATGATTACAAGGGTACATGTCAGTCTGGCAGGTTTCATCTGACATTGACCTCATTTTTCATGGTTTATTGGTCAATGTTAAGTTTTTGTGTTTTGGTCTTTTTTTCAAGTACTATTAGCAATATATAGGTCAACTATATTTGGTGTATGGAATGATTGTAAGATGTACATGTCTGTCTGGCAGGTATCATCTGACTGACCTCATTTTTATGGTTCATTTGTCAATGTAAAGTTTTTTGTGTTTTGGTCTGTTTTTCAAGTACTATAAGCAATAGGTCAACTATATTTGGTGTATGAAATAATTGTAAGGTGTACATAGATATAAGAAGATGTGGTATGAGTGCCATTGAGACAACTCTCCATCCAAGTCACAATTAGTAAAAGTAAACCATTATAGGTCAAAGTACGGCCTTCAACACGGAGCCTTGGCTCACACCAAACAGCAAGCTATAAAGGGCCCCCAAAATGACTAGTGTAAAACCATTCAAACAGGAAAACCAACGGTCTAATCTATATAAAAAACGAGAGAGGAGAAACACATCAACAAATGACAACCACTGAACATCAGGTACCTGACTTAGGACAGGTGCAAACAAATGCAGCGGGTTTAAATGTTTTAATAGATGCCAACCTTCATCCTACCTGAAACAATAGTGTAACATCACAACATAGAAAGACACACTATAAAATATCAATTGAAATGGCTTAACTCAATCAAAAGACATATTAACAAAAACAGGTGAACATAAACTGAGCAAATAAATTTGATCTATGACACAATGTAAATACAAAATTAATGAAACAAGGGGGTTAGATGTAAAACAATATCAAAAAGACAACCATAACCTTGGAAAAATGCCGCCAAATAAAATAACGTACACAGGTAAATAAAAATAATTTTGTTGTAAGGTATACATGGAGTATGGAATAATTTTTACAAAATAAATAACTTTGTTGTTCCTAGTATGAGAACAAAAGTGAAAATTTTATGCCTGTCTGTCTGACAGGATTTATCTGACCTTGACCTCATTGTCATGGATCTTTAAAAATGTTAACTTTATGTGATCCTTATAGTAAAACCTTTATCTTTAAGACTTTCAACATAAAATCAATGGTCAGGAAATTAGGTGACATTTCAGTGTGTTCACTCTTGTTTGTCAATTTCTATGCAATAAATACTAAGATATTATAGGAGGATCTTCTAGTATATAGAATTATAGATTGACCCTTTATTAGTCCCCTACCGACGAAGTCGAAGGGGACTTTAGGTTTGCACTCCGTCCGTCTGTCCGTCAGTCCAGCAAATCAGCTTTCCACAGTTTTTTTCTTCTTTCTTGAAGATATTGATTTGATATTTGGTATATAGTTTTATCATGACAAGTTATAGATCAAGTTCGAATTTTATTCTGGTCTGATGATTTAGTCCAGAATTATGGACCATAATTCTTGACCATTTCTAATGTTAGAGTACTATGTTAAACCATCTCTCTGTACAAAGAGAGATAACTCATTTTTTAAAAGACATTCTTTGTTAAATTATTTGAAGAATTTTTTGGCAGGTTTTTTTGTTATTTAGTATAAACTAATTTTCTGAATGCTATATATATATAAAAAAAAATTATGAAGAGAAATCCTTTAATTAGATAATAATCTATTTTTATTAATGTATATATTTCAATACATTACATTGTGTAGATAATAGTTGTTGACATTTTATAGATAAGTTACAAATCTATATTAGTTTGTGACAAATGAAAGAAAAAATATTTTGAACTATTAATTATATTTGATTATAATTTGAAAATAGATATACACTGTATAACATGATATCTAATTTTAGAGAACTATTTATCATATCTAATGTTTTTTTCATCATGCTTATAAGATATTGATTGATAATTGGTATATAGTTTTATCATGACAAGTTACAGATCAAGTTCAAATTTTTGTTTCGGTCTAATGATTTTGTGCAGAGTTATGGTCCTTGGACTTGAAAAATTCACTCATATAATCAGTTTTCCACACTTTTTTTAGTCATGCTTGAAGATATTGACATGATATTTACTTTTGTTTACACCATGACAAGTTATAGAACAAGTTAGCATTTTGTTCCGGTATAATGAATTTTTACCCGGTAGGGGACTATGTATTGCCATGCAATACTCTCAGAATGCTTGTTACATTTGCAAGGAATTTATCTTTGTTCAGTACCAAGCTTAAAATATGAATCAAAAACATATGTTGTCTATGAAGTAGTGACCAAATGTAATCTCATGAATAGGCTTAACAGCTACATGTACACCCAGGGTTTGAAATTAGCAGGGGCCCACTCGCCAATGGCCCCTCAAATTTGGTGTGGGCTTCTTAAATTTCTGCCTATCTTGTATAGGACTATATATGTGGGCTACAAAATTTAAGCTGTGGGCTACCATTGCCAAAGTCTTAAGTTCAATCCCTGGACACCCTAGTTGCCAATTGTGCTACTTTGAAATAGTAATTTAATTTCAGCTTTAATAAAGTTATGGATCCCATAACTTTATATCAAAACAAAATATGAACCAAAATCTAGTAGCCCTGACCAGATTATCTAATGGATGGACTATATTACCCCTGCTTATTGCCATTCTTGGTTTTATATAAACATGAACAGTAGTAGACCCTCTTATAGACCCAGCTTGTATAAAATGAGTCCTTTACAATACTCCTGCCAATGTCAGAATCTGGCAATTGGCAAAGTTTAATGCCAGACAAAAGGAAAATCTGATACCTAATTATCAGGAAATTGATTGGTAAGGTGGTGAAACTGGATTGTTATATTTAATGTGTTTGGATTAGATGTCAGATCAATCGGTCATTGACAGTCTAGGTTACCAGTAAATACATCCAAAACACCTGTCATTAGGTGAGAAGTACACACATAAAATATTGATTTATAACAAGTACTATCTGACTATTCTGAAACGCATAATAATGGCAGACTAAGCAGCTACCTAACAAGCAATATATATTCAGTAGTAAGGTCAGTTTAGATATTTTTTAGAAAGCTTGTCAGATTTGTAAAAAAAAGTGAACATGGTGTAAGAAAGGTCTACAAATTTATTATCTCCCTTATCATGATTATTTATCGACTAAAGGTAGACAACTGTCTTTATGATATTCATTGAAGCAGCTTACATATATATATGTATAACATGTATAACTATGAAAAAAATCTGTGAAAACTTGTTAATAACAGCAAATGATTAGTCTGTCAATCTCTTAAGTTACATCTAAGTGGAGCACTGTTTAATGACTTTGATATGCTTCACAACAGCTGAAATGGACTTGACACCCACCAACAGAAGGTGCAGGGTTCTCATTAAGGTGATTCCATAAGTACTGGTCTCATAAAAATTTGTCTGGACTCAAAACTGGTGAGTCCAAAGATGCATCAAGATTGTAAAATGTATCAACTGACCACATATAAGTTTATAACAAAAATAAAAAAATAATCTAAATTTGATGTCATTTCCTTCCAGTTTTTGGTCAAGTGGACTGAATTAATAAATTACCAGGTTATATAGCAATACAATTTAAATCTCTTACTGTTGGACTCACCATGGCCAAAAATGACCAGTTCCTGGACACGCCTTATGAATCCTTAGTGAGAACCCTGACTGTATGAATCCTTAGTGAGAACCCTGACTGTAGGAAAAAAACCTTAAGCTTGTCCTTATGAAGTGGATATGCTGTTTCTTTTTGTAAACTTACAAGTATAATCATTTATATGGTATCTTTTGGTTATGGGTGTCATTGCCTTTCTATTTCATTCAATGGTGTATACAGCACATCACCTTTTCCACATTAAATAAATTTAGGCATATTTATATTCCACATTTTTATTAAATAAAAAGTATAAACTGCAGTAGAAATTTTATGGGCAGCTATCTTGTGGTGCTTCTTCAACCTAGGTTAATCTACAACTTGTGGATAGGTGAAAAAAGCAAAATCCATGCAAGCTATACTGTACATCATTTTATTTTTAATGTACTTTTATATATGTATGTCAGAAATACATGCATTCAATTGCATGCACACATTTTATACATACAGTGAATTTGAGGAACATCCTAAAATGAGAAATCAAGTCTTGGTGTAGTTGATCCCACATTCCAGAGCACACTACATTTGTAAGTAGCAAACCTTCCCGTGAGAAGATGTCAGTTTTAAAAAGTATAATTTCGTTACTAAAATTGAAGTTGCTATTTCCTAAATTGTTAAAAGGCTATAAATGTCATTATGTCATACACGATATACATGTATATGTGTGTTACTAACTCTTTTGTGAATCATTATGCTGCACAATATATTAACAATAGGTAATGTTATAAAAGCACTTCAAAGCTTTGAGGACCAACTGGCTTGTATATTTCCTGTTGTTCGGTTTTTGGCTTTTTTTCGTTATTCCCCCATTATAATAATCAAAGTGATGAGTTTGAAATGGGTTAAAAAGAAAACCTGGAAGTGAAAAATGTAATTTTTTTAATTATTATTATTGTATAATTTTGTGGATGTAATAGGTATTTTTGAAGTAGTTCAAAAATGTGAATCGAAAATGGAGGCTCATAATGTTATATGTTTAATACAACAGAGTTGATGTGATGTGCTGTGTAATAATATCTCAATTGTTCAAAAGGATTATTAATTTGTGTTTTTTGATGATGCCAGAGTAAAACAGAAGAAAATGTTCACAATGTGTTTATGCCAAATTTCAAATCATTAAGGAAATTACTCATTATAAACAAGAGAAACTTTTGATCTGTTTGGTATACAGATATAAGCATGGTCTCTATGGCTGGAAAGGAACATGTGTCCACATTGTTTTTGGCAGAATATAATGATACTTGGAAATTAGTTATGAAATCATTAGTTGAAGACGCTAAAATGAAAAAAACTGTTGCTTCTAAATTGAAAAGAAAAGATGCCTATGTCAGGGTTAAATATAAAAAGAAGAAACGAGTATTTTTAGGAAAGGATTGTGCAAAGGCTTTCACGCCACCTGACAAAAAGGTGAGATTGTATAAGATAGAAATTATAGGCAAATTTCATGAGCTCATTGAAATAGAAATTCAGTCATCAATTTAATATAAATTCATGCTTATTTGAAAATCTGTTGCTTATATGGAAAAGAAAGGTCAAGGAAACTTTTAACTGAATTTTCTTTCTTCCTGGACATGTAGGAGGAGTTTTTACCGATCAAACCCACCCAACCACAAGGGTCTTAACCCTATTTTCTGTCTGACCCCATTCCTGTTGAACCAAGACAGTATTTAGCATTGCCATTGTTAAATCCATAGTTAATGATTGTCACTAGCATCAACTTAAGTGTTCATATAGAAGCTTGATTTTATGATGGATCATTGTTGTATAACCTCTTCACCCCCAATCCTGCATGTGGTCGAGATTGCAACAGCCATTCTTTTATAGCACATATGATCCTCCATACTTTTTCAGAACTGCCCTAGCTGAACTGTGTTGACAGCAGGGAGATCAATTTTGCAATTCATGGTCCATAAAAACTTTCCAGATGTGTTGTCATGAAAATATGAAAGCCTTAATACCCTTCTTGGAGTTGACAAAAAATTGGAGTTAGAAAAATGTGAAAATGTAGCCAAAATCAGGGTGGGGTGGGAGTTATTTGATGGCCACTTCATGAATGGTATAGGCCGTAGGTTTTTAAAATATTATCCTATATGCATGAATAGGTAGACAATCGAGTCACATTTACTTCTTAAAAAACCTATATGTTGATGATACATTAATTTTCATCTTAATGGTTTAAAATAATAATAGGGTCACCTACTTCGTTTTAATGGTATATATCATTCAGTGTAGTGTTCATATTATGTGAAAAAAGTACGGAAAAAACATCGAAATAATCGTTATATCATTCGTTGTAGCCCGTAAAAGGTCGATTTTAAACGATTTTTACTACCAACTAGGTAACAATTTGGTTAATACACAAAAAACAAAGTCAGTGATCATAGATTATTTTATATAATTAAAAAAGAAATTTATGTAATTGAAATTGGAGATTTGATGATTTTATTATAAGACAAATTTGAGACTGTTTTTCGCTGATTTTATATGCTTTCTATACAAATGTTCACCTATTTTGAAAGAATTCAATCACTCATATTTCAGAAAATAAAATGGATAAATGCATTATTTTTTTTGATTTTCAGTTATAGTTCAACAATCTAAAACTGTATGCAGAATTTTGATAAAATCTGTGACATAGCCCATTTAGTGTTCCTTGACCTTAACAAGTTTGTGTGCACTGGGTACACAAAAAAGCTTCATTCAAACTCAGTAACATATTGTTGTACTGACAATCTGATTAAAATACACAGATCCTGTGTCCAAGCTCTGCTTTATACAAGAAAATGCCCCATTCTTCTTTCTGATTTAAAGATTTTTCAAGATCCTCTGGTTTGTCGGATTAATACACACCTTCAAAAATTTGAGGGCTGAAATTTCGTTCCCTGATGTAATAATACCAGAACAGACAGTAAAAGTGAGTGTTGTCAGATCCTTATAAGCAAAGCTTGAACACAGGATATGTATTTTAATCAGATAGTTGTACTGCATATGTGTGTGAGAAAACTCTCCTGATGTGTAAAATTCATTTGTCCAACCATCCATCCACTCCATGCTGTAAAAGTGATCAGTCACACTTCTTACCCATGACATTTTGTTGAACAAGGAAGGAAGTCTTGTATTACATTTTATCACTGGTATCTTTACTGCAGATGTTTGTATCTCCTTGCTGAATGTAACATAGATAAATGTTTAATTAAAAATCGTCATAAAAAGCAATGTGTTTTATCATAATGATAAAGTATCTGGGGGATAAAGATAAAAAGGGCGACCTGCAGTCAGGCACAGCCATAAAGTAGTACTGCTTAGAGGATGTTTGTCTTCCCAATGTCAATTAAATCACACAAGTAGTACTTCCTGTTGCTGATAAGATTAGGGTAGATTTTACTGGTGCCAGTAGGGTACTAGACTTGCTACATGTCCCTTCCTAATTTTCTTTTTTTTTTCAATTTTGCCCCTTTAACAATTTTACTGCTATAACTAAGAGATTTCCATTATACTGACATCTGCAGAGGAAGGTATACCGGTACTGGCAGTTTTCAGTAAACATATAAATTAATAAGAAAGAAATAAAAGAAAGGGAATTGTAGCAAGTCTAATAAAGTACCAGCTTGACAAATAAAAAGAGACACTTTGTACCACTTTGACAAATAGAAATAGACATTTTGTACCAGTTTGATGATTGAAAATAGACATTTTGTATAAATTTGACAAATGCAAAGAGACAGTTTTAATGAGAGGTGGAACTTTTTTATTAAGCTAATAAAAAGATTTGAACATACATGTAATGCATGGTTCACAAAATGTTAAAGGATAAATAAAAAGGTGATTCCTTGAGATCCAACTGTCCTTTATCATGTTAATATTTAGTACTTTTATTGTTGGTGCTTGACCAAACACTGTTAAGAAAATTTAAGAGGTCAATGGTAAAGTATTGCACTTTGCCTTAAATTATCTTTTAATGATAAAAAACCTGTACACTGGCAAATCTAATTTGAATCATGGTGATATAGGAAACCCACACTTATAATATGTTTGGCCTAATTGGTCTTAGGATACTCAGTATTGGCATTTTAATTATCTGATAAACTCATTACCTATCTCTCCATTCAGATAGTATAGGACATTTTTTTATGTAATTTGGATGCACAGTATTAATCTATGTAGATTTCGTGATTATTTATGAGGCAATCTAGTAATTTAGTTCCAAGTTAAAATCCCTATTTTCATTTGCAATGAAAAAAAAAAAAAAAAAACATTAATCCTCTTACATAAGCTTGTTTGATAGATAAGGTCATCAGCTGTCATTTGAACAGCTTGACTTTTTTTACATTTTTATATCCCCACTCTTAAATTGAGAGCTGAAAGTTTCTCAGAAACTACCAGACAGAATGATTTCATATTTGGTCAGCAGCTTGACAATGATCAGTTAAACTATGTGAGCATTTTTCAGATCTGAAAGTCACCTTCTTCATGTTTGCCGAAACTGTGAATTTTTCCAAATAATGAAAAAAAATAAAATAAATCTCATATTTTTCTCAGAAACTACTGAACAGGATGATATTTGGTCAGCCACTTGACAATGATAAAAAATAATATGTGTGGTTTTTTGTTCGTTTGACACTGTTTTCCTGTTTCCCCATACACTGGAGTACGAGTTGGAGTATGCTTTAAACGGTACATTTGATCTAATGGTAAATAATGTCAGAATTGATGCTCATTTAGCTTTTTGCCTTATACTTTAAGTTAGAGACCTGAAAACTGTTAAAGGTCTATGAATACTTATAGCACATTGGAAAATCAGGATGAAATGACTTCTTCTTTAACGTTAAATCTGACTGAACAGTGTACATTACAACAATGACTTTTCTAAATTAATGGACTCAAAAACTATAGAAATTACAAATTTATTGATTATAAAAATGGAACTACAATTGCTTCAATGTATCTGTTTGAAATTTATGTACCATATTAAAAAGGACATGTAGACATTAGATAGTAAGTGTAATGACTTGCTGTACATGTACTGTTAAAATATCTAACTGTAAATTTGATCATTTCAGGAACTTAAAGATGAGATAGCAGACGTCCAGTCTGAAATGGACATGATAGATGTCTCTGATGGCAGGTAAGATTTGATCAAAGTATAATTTTTCTCAAAAGCAGGTAAAATCTAATTTTGTTAACATTTTGAAAAAACAAAGAGATTTCAGTTCACCTTAGAAAATGTAGGAAAATGCAGGATATTCTATGCTTTAAAGAGTATATATATGTTCATTCTCATCGCTTCAATGTGTGGGCATAAAGTTTATTCTCTTTGCTTCAATGTGTGAACATTTATCCATTCTCATGTTCACATTGAATTCTTAAAATCATTTACAAACTTCGAAATTATTAAGATAAAGTTTTTGCAATGTTATCACCTTAAACCTGTAAACAAGGAATTATTTGAATCTGGAATAGTTTTGAATTCTAGAAAATTGATAAGAAATGTATGATGAAAACTAACCCAATTAAGTTGGCTTGCCATGCATGCATGGCTAAGGGGGTTAGTTAGTTCATACTGAAATATCAGTGAAAGTAAAATTTACCTTAGAGAATAACCCTATTTAGTTGGGTTAGTTTGTCATCATACATTTCTTCTCGATTTTCCAGAATTCAAAATTATTCCAAATTCAAATAATTCCTTGTTTGTACTTTATTGTCCGAAGGCCTTTGTACTACAGTAGAGTAAGAATGCCACAGAGAACCTGTACTTTATTGTCCAATGGCCTTTGTACTACAGTAGAGTAAGATTGCCACACAGAACCTGAACTTGATTGTCCAATGGCCTTTGTACTACAGTAAAGTAAGATTGCCACACAGAACCTGTACTTTATTGTCCCATGGCCTTTGTACTACATTACTAGTAGAGTAAGATTGCCACAGAGAACCTGTACTTTATTGTCTAATGGCCTTTGTACTACAGTAGAGTAAGATTGCCACACAGAACCTGTACTTTATTGTCCCATGGCCTTTGTACTACAGTAGAGTAAGATTGCCACACAGAACCTGTACTTTATTGTCCAATGACCTTTGTACTACAGTAGAGTAAGATTGCCACTCAAAACCTGAACTTTATTGTTTAATGGCCTTTGTACTACAGTAGAGTAAGATTGCCACACAGAACCTGTACTTTATTGTCCAATAGCTTTTGTACTACAGTAGAGTAAGATTGCCACACAGAACCTGAACTTTATTGTCCGATGGCCATTGTACTACAGTAGAGTAAGATTGCCACACAGAACCTGTACTTTATTGTCCAATGGCCTTTGTACTACAGTAGAGTAAGATTGCCACACAGAACCTGTACTTTATTGTCTAATGGCCTTTGTACTACAGTAGAGTAAGATTGCCACACAGAACCTGAACTTTATTGTCAGATGACTTTTGTACTACAGTATAGTAAGATTGCCACACAGAACCTGTACTTTATTGTCCAATGACCTTTGTACTACAGTAGAGTAAGATTGCCACAGAGAACCTGTACTTTATTGTCCAATGACCTTTGTACTACAGTAGAGTAAGATTGCCACACAGAACCTGCACTTTATTGTCCGATGGCCATTGTACTACAGTAAAGTAAGATTGCCACACATACCCTGAACTTTATTGTCTGATGACCTTTGTACTACAGTAGAGTAAGATTGCCACACAGACCCTGAACTTTATTGTCTGATGACCTTTGTACTACAGTACTAGTAGAGTAAGATTGCCACAGAGAACCTGTACTTTATTATCCAATGGCCTTTGTACTACAGTAGAGTAAGATTGCCACACAGAACCTGTACTTTATTGTCCAATGGCCTTTGTACTACAGTAGAGTAAGATTGCCACACAGAACCTGTACTTTATTGTCCGATGACCTTAGTACTACAGTAGAGTAAGATTGCCACACAGAACCTGTACTTTATTGTCTAATGGCCTTTGTACTACAGTAGAGTAAGATTGCCACACAGAACCTGAACTTTATTGTCAGATGACTTTTGTACTACAGTATAGTAAGATTGCCACACAGAACCTGTACTTTATTGTCTGATGACCTTTGTACTACAGTAGAGTAAGATTGCCACAGAGAACCTGTACTTTATTGTCCAATGACCTTTGTACTACAGTAGAGTAAGATTGCCACACAGAACCTGCACTTTATTGTCCGATGGCCATTGTACTACAGTAGAGTAAGATTGCCACACAGACCCTGAACTTTATTGTCTGATGACCTTTGTACTACAGTAGAGTAAGATTGCCACACAGACCCTGAACTTTATTGTCTGATGACCTTTGTACTACAGTACTAGTAGAGTAAGATTGCCACAGAGAACCTGTACTTTATTATCCAATGGCCTTTGTACTACAGTAGAGTAAGATTGCCACACAGAACCTGTACTTTATTGTCCAATGGCCTTTGTACTACAGTAGAGTAAGATTGCCACACAGAACCTGTACTTTATTGTCCGATGACCTTAGTACTACAGTAGAGTAAGATTGCCACACAGAACCTGTACTTTATTGTCCGATGACCTTTGTACTACAGTAGAGTAAGATTGCCACACAGACCCTGAACTTTATTGTTGGATGACCTTTGTACTACAGTAGAGTAAGATTGCCATACAAAACCTGTACTTTATTGTCGGATGACCTTTGTACTACAGTAGAGTAAGATTGCCATACAAAACCTGTACTTTATTGTTGGATGACCTTTGTACTACAGTACTAGTAGAGCAAGAATGCCACACAGAACCTGAACTTTATTGTCTGATGCCCTTTGTACTACAGTAGAGTAAGAATGCCACACAGAACCTGTACTTTATTGTCGGATAACCTTTGTACTACAGTAGAGTAAGATTGCCACACAGAACCTGAACTTTATTGTCTGATGACCTTTGTACTACAGTAGAGTAAGAATGCCACACAGAACCTGAACTTTATTGTCGGATAACCTTTGTACTACAGTAGAGTAAGATTGCCACACAAAACCTGTACTTTTATAGTCTGATGGCCTTTATACTACAGGATGTATAATTGTGCAATCACTTACCATGTATGTAAGAGGATGCATTAGACTTCAGATCAGTTACTTCCTATACAACTTAGCTAAAAAATGAAACTTGAATACAGTCATACGTCTTGATATAGGGAGACATCTTATGTAATCTGTCCATTAAAAGTAACAATACAAAAAATTAAATTCTGCCAATTGTTTATTTTATTGATAAGAAAACTTCCAATTCTTTTATCATTCAACATATCAAAACTGAATGTCTTCTGTAAAGTTTATAGTTAGATATAAGCTTCTGTTAGTCATGTTTTAGAAATAAACTTCATGAAAAAACTGCTTTATTGTAGCTCAGACATATTCTTGCAAGGTTTTTTTCTGGTTCTCAAAATGCATAGGCATAAAACCTGAAGACATCTTAGCTTTGTAAATTTGATATCTGTAGAATGGCTGTAATGTAATTTTACATTATGTATCTGTTTTTAGTCAGAACAACCCAAAGACTAAACAGATGTCCATAGGGAAGAAGAAATTTAATATGGACCCCAAAAAGGTAGGTAATTATAATAAGACTAAACATCATTTTCTGTGACCCAGTTTATTGGGGGAAAGTGGAAAAAACTTTTAAATAGAGATGTTGAAATCAAGTGAAAAATTGTGGGAAAGTTCACTGCTTTAGATGTTATGATTCATCCCATCATTTAGTAGGAGTTTGAGACTGTATAACATAATTTATAAGGAAGGAAATGGAATTTCTAAAATTGTCTGTAAAATATGAAATTGCAGAGTATAGATATGAACATAGGGAAGTATATTGTGGGTTATGTCATTGAGGCAGCATTCCAAAAATAGATCGCAACCAAAAAAGACTGATTTCTGTAATTATAACCAGGAACCTTCAATTGAGAGATTATATACTGGAAAAAATAGGGTATATAATTTGACAGCAAAATTTTTAAGACCCTAAAATAGCGGAGGGGTCATTAAGTTTTACCCTTGTCTGTCTGTACGTCCGTAAGTCCCCAAATTGGTTTCCGTTCTCTAACTTTAGTATGCCTCAACCAAATGTTATGAAATTAAAACAAAATGCTTATTACCACAAAACCTAGATCAACTGTGAACTTGGGTGGTGTCACTTTTACCTTTCTAGAGTTATGCCCCTTTACAAATGGAAAAATTGCTGAATTTTTCGTTTCTGTTCTCTAACTTAAGTTTGCCTCAACCAAATGTTATGAATCTTATACACAATGATTATTACCACAAAACACCCGATCAAATTTTGAATTTTGGTCACATCACTTTTACCATTCTAGAGTTATAAAATTTAGAATGGAAATGGGGAATATGTCAAAGAGACAACAACCGGACCACAGAGCAGAAAACAGCTGAAGGCCACCAATGGATCTTCAACACAGCGAGAAAATACGGCACCCAGAGGCAGGCTTCAGCTGGCCCCTTAATTAAAATGTGTACTAGTTCAGTGAAAATGGACGTCATACTACACTCCAAAAGATATAAATGAACTAAAATTAAAAAACATACAAGACTAACAAAGGCCAGAGGCTCCTGACTTGGGACAGGCGCAAAAATGCGGCGGGGTTAAACATGTTTTGTGATATCTCAACCCTCCCCCAATACCTGTAGCCAATGTAAAATAAACAAACACACAGCGATACGCACAGTTAAACTCAGTTTAAAAGAAGTCCAAGTCCAATGTCAGAATAGGTAACAAAAGAAACTAAGCAAAATGACAAATTGACAATGATTCATAAATTAAGAAAGGACTTCTAGCAGTTACTGACATGCCAGCTCCAGACTTCAATTAAACTGATTAAAAGATTATGTCTTCATCATATGAAAATCAAGCACAATCCCTCCAGTTAGTATTTATGCCCCTTTACAAATGGAAAATTGCTGAATTTTTTGTTTCCTATAACTTAAGTTTGCCTCAACCAAATGTTATGAAACTTATAAACAATGCTTATTACCACAAAACTCAGATCAAATAGGAATTTGGGTAGCATCACTTTTACCATTCTTGAGTTGTGTCCCTTTATAATGTTATATGCAAGCGGGGCATCATCTGTGTCCCATGGACACATTCCCCATTTATTTTATATGCATTAATGGAAAAAATAGGGTATATGTCAATGTGACAGTAGATAAATCTAAAGAGATCAAAAAGCAACATTCTTTAACAGTAAACAAAATGTTGCTACTCCATTATTTTGTTATCAATTTTCAAACGATCATAATGTTTTAATTTCTACTTTTGAAATATTACCCAGGGTTCATTAGATTTTGAATTGCCCATCATTATATAGGACTATTTGATAAAGGATTATGATTTTTTAGGGTATAGAATATTTGATAGACCATCAGCTTCTACCCAACACACCTGAAGAGGTTGCTAAATTCCTTTTCCAAGGTGAAGGACTTAACAAGACTGCCATCGGAGACTATCTTGGTGAAGCGTAAGTATCCAGTTTCATTTTGTACTTGATCTGGTTATAGAGAAAATAATTGTATAGGTTTTCTTTCAAAATTTATTTCAGCAATTTTTTATGAGCATCTTCTTTTTGCTGGCTACAGTATTCATTCATTGGTCTTTGCTGTTGCTGGTTTACATTAAAAATGCAAAATCAAATCAATCAGGATATTCATCTTACTTAAAGTAGCTTGCCAAGAGTTCCTTGGTTTAATCTACATTTTTATACGACCGCAAAAAAACTTTTGTGGTCGTATATTGGTATGACGTTGGCGTCGTCGTCGTTGCCTCCAAATTTTAGGAATTAGTGGCCACAAAAGGGGTAAAAAACAAGCATTTTTCTAGTTTCATGACAATAACTTGTGTGTAAGTGTATGGATCTTTCTGAAATTGTACTACAAGGTTCCATATCACAAAGGGAAAGCTGAAATTGAGTTTGGGGGTAATTGCCCAAAATGTTTAGGAATAAGGGGCCAAAAATAAGCATTTTCCTAGTTTCCAGACAATAACTTGTGTTCAAGTGTATGGATCTCTCTAAAATTGTACTGCAAGGTACCATACCACAAAGGGAAGGCTGGGATTGATTTTGGGGGTAATTGCCCAAAACTTTTAGGAATAAGGGGCCAAAAAGGGGCCAAAAATAAGCATTTTTCTAGTTTCCAGACAATAACTTGTGTTCAAGTGTATGGATCTCTCTGAAATTGTACTGCAAGGTACCATACCACAAAGGGAAGGCTGGGATTGAGTTAGGGGGTGATGAATCATAAGGGGGTTCAAAAAATTTGGGGGGGGATTTTTTTTCCCCTTTTTTTTTTCTTTAAAATTTTCCATTTTAAATTGGTTATTTCTGATTTATCTATAAAAGCAAATAATAATGATATGGTTTGAATAGGTAAATTAAAATTTTTTAAGTTCTTAGACCACATTCATTCTGTGTCAGAAACCTATGCTGTGTCAAATATTTAATTTCAATCCAAATTCAGTGCTGTATCAAGCTTGAATTTTGTGTCCATACTTGCCCCAACTGTTCAGGGTTCGACCTCTGCGGTCGTATCAAGCTGTGACCAGCGGAGCATTTTATTGTTCAATATCAAAGTAGGTTATTATCACTGGATCGTAATTGATTGCTTAATAAAGCAGATAGATAAATCAAAGTCTCCAAAAATAAATTCCACTAATTTATATGCACATGAATAGGAATATATTAAATAAAAAAACACATAGAAATGTTTTTCTTCAAATCCAACCTATATAAGTTTGCAGTTGCAAAAATAACCCACCATACAGTAAAAACTACTGAGTTTCCATATAAATTTTGGGCACTGCATTAATGTGATATTTTGATTTTTACAGAAAAGATTTCAATATATCTGTACTGAAAGCATTTGTGAACCTCCATGAGTTTTCTGATATGATACTAGTACAAGCTTTACGACAGTTCCTATGGAGTTTCCGTCTGCCAGGAGAGGCACAGAAGATAGACAGAATGATGGAATGCTTCGCTGAAAGATATTGTGAATTAAACCCAGGGATGTTCACCAGTACAGGTATTGTTTTTGCTGAAAATTTATAGCAAATAAATTACTATACTGATAAATCACCATTTGCTGTTCACAAGGAAGAAAACAAAAGGTTTTTTGAGGGGTAAAGTACATGTTGGTGTTTTCATTTAACCACGGTTAGCTGACCAAAAGTATTTTGAGAATGCCTATGGAATTTATACCACATGATAAGAGAAAAAGACCAGGATGCAAATTTAAAATTTAGGACAATACTTTTGTTAACTTTGACCTGCTTGACATACTTTGAAATACCTTCTACATATTTGTGTTTTTTTGGTAGAATTTCCATACATGCGTGGTGTTTCAATATCAAAGTCAATAGTCTGACTCATCTCACCTAGACTCATCATTTTCATCTGCTCCTGGAACTACCAAAAAAAATTAAAGTAATGATCTCCACAATAGACATACTCATCAAAATTTGAAGGAGGGCTTCTTAATTGACTTAATCAAAACCATATAAATATCCCTGATAAAGTGTTTTCCAGCATTCCAGATTTGTATGCCCCCGTCGCAGCAGAGGTATCATTAAGTTTTACCCTTGTCCTTCTGTACATCTGTCCGTCCATACGCCCCAAAATTGATTTTCGTTCTTTAACTTTAGTTTGCCTCAACCAAATGTTATGAAACTTATACACAATGCTTATTACCACAAAACACAGATCAAGTTTGAATTTTGGTGTTGTCACTTTTACTGTTCTAGAGTTATGCCCCTTTACAAATGGAAAAATTGCTGAATTTTTCTTTTCCCCTCTCTAACTTTAGTTTGCCTCAACCAAATGTTATGAAAATTATACACAATGCGTAATATTACCACAAAACTCAGATCAAGTACAAATTTGGGTAGCGTCACTTTACGGTTCTTGAATTATGTCCCTTTATAAAGTTACATGCAAGTGGGGGCATCATCTGTGTCCCATGGACACACATGGGACATATTCTCCATTTATTTCTGATATCACCTTATTATGTAGCAGATACATGTATAAAAAAAAATATGCCATTTAATTTTTCATCTAACCATGTTTAAAATCATGCTAATACACTTGGATACAAAGTAGTTTTCATACCAGGACTGTATTTTTAGAATATCTTTTATAACTAATTATGAAATTTTGAGGAAATGAGTGAATTTGATGAATTGCAGTGAATCGTCAACTACCATTTGTAAATGAAAATAACATTTAATAAATTTCGTGCATCTGAAGCTCTTTACTGGATTTACCTTCAACAGGAACTCTATAACCCAAACATTTGAAAGCCAAGGATGTAGAAATTCTTAAAAAGGTGAGGAGCTGTATGAACAAAAGGGAACTTAACAGTATAGCCAAATTATCTATTGTCAACTTTGCCTATAAAGGAAGTTGAACCTTTTAAAATTATTCACCTGTCGCAGTGGAGAGGGCATTGAAGTGTTACCCTTGTCCATCTGTACATCCTAAAATTAGTTTTCCGCTCTCTAACTTAAGTTTGCCTCATCCAGGTGTTATGAAACTTATAGTCATTGGTTATTACCACAAAACACAGATCAAGATTGAATTTAGGTTGCGTCACTTTTACTGTTCTAGAGTTATGCCCTTTACAAATGGAAAAATTGCTGAATTTTTCGTTTTTATTCTCTGACTTAAGTTTGCTTCAACCAAATGTTATGAAACTTTTACACTATGCTTATTACTACAAAACTCAGATCAAGATTGAATTTGGGTGGCATCACTTTTACCGTTCTTGAGTTATGTTCCTTTATAATGCTATATGAAGCGGGGGCACCATCTGTATCCCATGGACACGTTCTCCATTTATTTCATAATTGTAACAATTAATAGTAAGATCGCAAAAATTGTGACTACAATTCTGTTAATAATTGTTCCCAAATATATATTTCAGATACCTGTTATGTCCTTATTTTTAATGCATTAAACTGTTAATAGGTATACCTAATATATATTTCAGATACCTGTTATGTCCTTATTTATAATACATTAAACTGTTAATAGGTATACCTAATATATATTTCAGATACCTGTTATGTCCATAATACATTAAACTGTTAATAGGTATACCTAATATATATTTCAGATACCTGTTATGTCCTTATTTATAATACATTAAACTGTTAATAGGTATACCTAATATATATTTCAGATACCTGTTATGTCCTTATTTATAATACATTAAACTGTTAATAGGTATACCTAATATATATTTCAGATACCTGTTATGTCCATAATACATTAAACTGTTAATAGGTATACCTAATATATATTTCAGATACCTGTTATGTCCTTAATACATTGAACTGTTAATAGGTATACCTAATATATATTTCAGATACCTGTTATGTCCATAATACATAAAACTGTTAATAGGTATACAAAATATATATTTCAGATCCCTGTTATGTCTTTAATACATTAAACTGTTAATAGGTATACCTAATATGTATTTCAGATACCTGTTATGTCTTGTCATTTGCTATCATTATGTTGAATACAACTTTACACAACCCTGCAGTAAAAGACAAACCATCTGTTGAAAGATTTATAACTATGAATCGGGGCATAAATGATGGTGTGAATTTGCCTGATGAACTTCTTAAGGTAAGCTAAAATCTATGAAGAAAATATATATAGACATTAAATTGGTTTTTTTCCTTACTTATTAAGAAAGTATTAGTTCCTTACTGTTTACATATAGATCCTTGTGATTAGATATCAGTAGAGTTTGTCAACATTGTTGATTTTACACAAAAGGATATATAAATACTTTTAATGTAATTCTAGGGTGTGTAGTAAAGATTGTAAAATTAGGATGTGAAATAAAGAATTTAAAAATATTGTGTGAAATAAAGTATGTAAAATTAGGGTGTGAAAGAAAGAAAGTAAAATTGGGGTGTGAAAGAAAGAGTGTAAAATTGGGGTGTGAAATAAAGAATGTTAAATTAGGGTGTGAAATAAACAATGTAAAACTAGCATGTGAAATGAAACAACACCATTGTAAATAGGCTTTATTTAAGGTCTGTAACAAATGGCAAAATTTGAAGCCTGACTGCACATTTTTACCAAAAATTGTCAAAAAAATATTGGTTAAACAATAAGCTAGTGTTTACATAATGAACATCTTAAATAATCTAGAATACAACATATGTAACACAACAGTACTGATAAAATACTAAAACGTCAGTTACTGATTAATTCTTATCTACACAGAGTCTATATGAGAGTATAAAGAATGAACCATTTAAAATCCCAGAAGACGATGGAAATGATCTCATGCATACATTCTTCAATCCAGACAAAGAAGGCTGGCTATGGAAACAAGGTTAGTTGCTATATTTAGATTTTGAATGTCATCTTCATACAACAGTTACCAGTGTCAGATACTATTTTAACTACAGTAACCAGTGTCAGATACTTTCATGTTGTTCCAAAGACTATTACTCTTAATCCTAAAGAAATCGTTTTTTATTTCTGGTTTTTCATTTTTGGAATTGTACTCAATTAGAAGAATACAACACCCTAGTAATATTTGAGGAGTTGTTAGTTTTCTCAAGATGAAGTACAGCAATAAAAGTTCTGATCCTTTAATACATTGGTTATTTCCTAGTAAATCTTGAAATTTTATGTCTTGTCTACATCTACCTATACTCTTTCTTTCATAAGGTTGTCATTAAAAACAAAATTATCCTGGAAGACCTCTGGTAAACATAAGGGAAGGTTCCCTTAATCAGTTTGTTTTCCTTAGGACATTTTGTGAACAATTCAGACTACAATTTTTAAATAGCTCTTATAAACTTTACTTGAACTCATCAGTTGTAAGGAGATGTGGATAAGTTGTTGGTGATTTCACTATGAGTGAAAATCCCCGAAACCATCTACAATTATACCAGATTTTTTCCCCCATCAATCTTTATGAAATATTGAATTTAACCTTTAATTGATATGAATAATTTACATAAACTAAAGACTCTTACGAGCAAATAATCAGAAATAATGACTTCATTTCAAATGAAACACTTTTATCAAGTGATTTTCATTCCTTATTTGTTAAACAAGAAAGAAAAGAATTATCCTGATCTTATTTGTTTTGTAACAATAATTTCCTGTTGAAAATCATAATGTAGACTGAAAGTAAAAATAATTAATCTTCTTACAGACAGGGAAGATAAATATTAATGTACTATTGTTAAAGTTCATTAATGTACATACCGGGGTATATCCTTAATTGTTTGCTAAAATAGAACAATGTCTAAACAGGAAGTTAAATACTTGATTTGATTTTCAAATGAACACTCCTGTATTGTTTTTCTTGTAACCACAAATTTTTATGTAATAGTACATATATTTGTATGACATCCTCCTTGTTAATTCACTTATTTAAATGTAACTTTGTTATTGACTTGGATTGGAGCGTCATCTTATAAATATTTGAATAGCTTAGAGCCTCTAGGTAGAAATTCAAAGTGGACTGACAAGAAATTAAATAAATTTGTGTATGAATTTTGATGTATAAAGTTAATACCATAGGTGTGAACAACATTTATAAAACTAAAGGTATTGATGGGGCATCTTTAATTTCCTATAAAATACTCTTATTTCCATACACTCCCTTTATAGACAATCAAAAAGTAATCTGAACAGGAGTTCATGACAAGTTATTTCTTACACGTTGTATGTTACAACTTAAAGTGTATATACAGTTAATTTGCACAAGACGAAATAAAATTGAACAGGACAATTTATGCAATTGGTTCTTTAATACTAACACTGTGTCTATCAATCCTGCATGAGAAGATAGGTTAACAAAAGGGTGTGAATAAGAGCATGAATTTAAACAATCTCTGAAACAGTGGCGTCAGTTAATTGCTATACTTTTAGCTCTGCCACACAGTCATCTTGAATATTACAAAGCTCATATTCAACTGTCTATAATCTACTCAGTATCATTAGCTGTGGTATGTTAGGATTTTTTTCTATTCCTGTGATACGTAGGGGACAGACCTCTGTTTCAGAGATTTTAACTTATAAGCATGAAGAAAACTAACTACACTTAACTGACTAATAGATTTTTAGGGGCACCCACATCAAAAATGTTTGTTGAGAGTTGTCGGGAGCAAAATCTTAATCTATGATCCATGTCCACTTTTATAAATGATAGAAAAACACAGGTTCTATATATTATTTTTTTTTCACTTTGGTGCACCTCTAATATCTATCCCTAGAGTACTTGACAATTCTCAGTTGTGCTATATATATATACAAGGTTTAGTTGAATTTTCTTTGCTAAAAATAAATGGTGAAAATGTTTGAATTTAAAAAGAAGAGCAAAGTTAGGTTTTTAAAGTATCGGTATTTCTTATTATATGTTTTGTGAACTTCGGGTCACAACCATTATAGTAGTCAGAAGGTACCAATGACCAATCAAAAAGCCTTAGTCTGATACAGCAACTAAACAAAATGATAAAAACATATGATGGTATATGGTATGAGGGTCTTTTAAAACATACAAATGTCCCTACAGTAGGTAAGGCTCTCTAAATTACCTGACCTCTAAATAAGTTCTGAGTGAATTCAACAAAGGCTTTCTAAGATCTGCAATCAACAACATTTACTTTACTTTGATACCATTTAATTCAGTGTTACAGTTGAAAACAAAAGGGAACCTTGTATATTAGCCAAATTTACATATACAGCATAGAATTTAAGGAGTTTTGTCTGCAAACCAAAATAATCCCAGATTATACAGATAATATTAACATGTTGTTCTTTTATCAGGAGGTAAGAGAGGTGTAAGTGGTGAATGACTTTTGACCTTTTGTTTTATTTTGAACTTGTTCAGCTATTGCTGGGTATTACTGGTGTGCATGTTTTTTAGAAGGAGTTTTGTTTTTAGCATGTTTTTATTTGAATTTAAAACTAAATCACCTGCATCTCACATTTTCGTTAGATCTTAAAATATATTTTTAAAAAGAATAATTTGAATTTGGACATTATTTTCTTTAATGGAGTACCAGTAATTTATAAACAATGTTGCATCATGGGAATAGGCTTGTTATGAACGTCTCTGTTTATACCATGAAACTGAAATTAAATTTGGAATTGGTCCTCCCAATATATCTTGCTTGCTTTCACTTTTCATGATGGTGCAAATTTGAAAATGGAAAGGGGTGACAACTTCAGAGAGGCCTTAGAAAGAATAATTTATTTCTAATTTTCCAGGCCAATTATTAATTTTTATATGATACCTGGCTACAGAAGATCAATTTATGTCAGTTTTTGATTTCCAGAATTTGTAGGAGTTGAATGACATTTTTTATACGGCCGCAAAAAAATTTTTATGGTCTTATATTGGTATGACGTTGGCGTCGTCTTCGTCGTCGTCCGATGACACATTAGTTTTCGCACTCTAACTTTAGTTTAAGTAAATGGATCTCAATGAAATTTTACCATAAGGTTCAATACCACAAAAGGAAGGTGGGGATTGATTTTGGGGGTTATGGTACTCACAGTTAAGGAATTAGGGGCCAAAAAGGGGCAAAAAATAAGCATTTTTGTAACTTCCAGACATAACTTGTGTGTAAGTGTATGGATCTCTCTCTTACATTGTACCACAAGGTTCCATATCACAAAGGGAATGCTGGGATTGATTTTGGGGGTAATTGCCTCCAAATTTTAGGAATTAGGGGCCAAAAAGGGGCAAAAAACAAGCATGTTTCTAGTTTCATGACAATAACTTGTGTGTAAGTGTATGGATCTCACTGACATTGTATCACAAGGTTCCATATCACAAAGGGAATGCTGGGATTGATTTTGGGGGTAATTGCCTCCAAATTTTAGGAATTAGGGGCCAAAAAGGGGCAAAAAACAAGCATTTTTCTAGTTTCATGACAATAACTTGTGTGTAAGTGTATGGATCTTTATGAAATTGTACTACAAGGTTCCATATCACAAAGGGAAAGCTGGAATTGAGTTTGGGGGTAATTGTCCAAAAAGTTTAGGAATAAGGGGCCAAAAATAAGCATTTTTCTAGTTTCCAGACAATCACTTGTGTTCAAATGTATGGATCTCTGAAATTGTACTGCAAGGTACTATACCACAAAGGGAAGGCTGGGATTGATTTTGGGGGTAATTCCCTCAAAATTTTATTAATTAGGGGCCATAAAAGGGCAAAAAACAAGCATTTTTCTAGTTTCAGGACAATAACTTGTGTGTAAGTGTATGGATCTTTATGAAATTGTACTGCAAGGTTCCATATCACAAAGGGAAAGCTGGGTATGAGTTTGGGGGTAATTGACCTAAACGTTTAGGAATTTTGGGCCAAAAAGGGGCCAAAAAACAAGCATTTTTCTAGTTTCCAGACAATAACTTGTGTTCAAGTGTATGGATCTCTCTCAAATTGTACTGCAAGGTACCATACCACAAAGGGAAAGCTGGGATTGAGTTTGGGGGTGATGAATCATAAGTGGAATCAAAAAATTGGGGGGGGGGGGGGGGGGGGGGGGTTTCCTCATTTTCTTAAAAATTTTCCATTTTAAATTGGTTATTTCTGATTTATATATAAAAGCAAATAATAATGATATGGTTTGAATAGGTAAATTAAAAATTTTTAAGTTCTTAGACCACTTTCATTCTCTGTGAGAAACCTATGCTGTGTCAAATCCAAATTCAGTGCTGTATCAAGCTTGAATGTTGTGTCCATACTTGCCCCAACTGTTCATGGTTGGACCTCTGCGGTCGTATCAAGCTGCGCCCCAGCGGAGCATTTTATTTCATGTTATTAAATTATTACTGAAGTGAAATTTCATGATCATGATAATTAAGTGATTACCCAAGAAGTGTTTCATCTATATAGTTGTTTAGTATGGACTGTGGTTCTTGAACAAAAAGAAGACACTTTTATACCAAATTGTGCAGTCCAAAAGTTCAAACTTTATAGAAAAAAGAAGATTAGATTATTCATTCAAAATTACTTTGTAATTCTGTACATATATTTATACTTAATTCCAAAAGTTGTCCTTTATTCTTATATCTTGTGAGAGTTGTCGAGAATTTCAGAAAATTTATAATAATATATTTTTCAATTTAATGACTGATTGTTTGATTGATTGATTGTCGGTACATTGTATCATATTATGACGGAAAATTTAGCCCTTTAAAGTTGCAACATCTTCCTAGTCCTAAGGTTGTAGTGTGGCACTCTTCACACACACATCACACATGGTCCACAACTAGGCTTTCTTCATCATCATCACTTAATACACTTTTTCAGTTTAATGTCATAAAATGATTTTAAGCCAAATCAAAATTAGTACATTTAGTAATTTGGAGTATTTTAAATAAAACATTTTTTTTTATTGATGTTTGAGATATATATCTGAAGAATAATGTTTAAAGTTGTTGTCCTATATGTTGTTGTATATCAAACTATATTCCCACAACAGAAGAAATTCTTGCTGATAATTACAGTAAAATATGAAATAGATCTTCATCAACGCTCATTGCTTTGACATGCATAATCATATGTCTTCATTAATTAAGTAGTTAACACTGCCTGTAACAAAGATTTGATTTGATTTTGATTTTTGGTGTTTTAACGCCACTTTTAAGCACCGCTTTCGGGCTATTTCGTGGCGGCCAGTTTGTATTGGTGGAGGAAGCCGGAGAAAACCACCGACCTTCGATAGGAAAACTGACAATCCTAGTCAATTAAGATTGAAGTCGAGTGCACCCGCATGAGCGTTGTTCGAAATCACAACCTCAGTGTTGACTGGCTAGTGATTACAGTAGTAACTACTTAGACCACTCGGCCACCATGGCCCCTCCTGTAACAAAGTTGTAAGTGAAATTATTGAATGCACCATCAAAAATCAATATGGACTACTACACAAGTTTTATAAAAAGTTGTATCATGTTGCAAGTCATTTTTTTTTTTCATTTATTTAATTTAGCATAATGATGATGATATGGTGGAGGAAAATTAACATTTAACTCACTAAACTCTTTCAAAAAGATAAGATTGATTGTTGAGGTTTAACACCACTTTATACAATTAAGCTTCCTGGTAGTAAATTATGGAACATTATCTACCTTACAGGCTACTCAAACACAATTTGTAACATCTATGAAATTCTTTGGTATACCTAAATGTGCCAAACTGAATCGCTACTCAAACACAATTTGTAACATCTATCAAATTCTTTGGTATACCTAAATGTGCCAAACTGAATCCATTATAGTTGTACATTAGAAGACAAGTTTTTTTTTCTTAACAAATTAGAGAAAGTTTTGTTTATTGAACTAATTAATCTTTAAAAATCAAATCCATTTGCATGATCACATGGTAAAAAAGAATGAATAATTACTCTTATACATATAAAGTGTTATTAGCAAAATATTCTGCAAGCACTTGACTGCTTAATTCTTAAAAAAAATAACTTTTTGACCGTTGCATAAAGACAGTAGTGTATTATCTCTTCTGTTTAGTTAAGCTATTCCCTGCCACTGAAAGCTGCAACATATGCATTAATAAAAGGTAGTTTCTCCATAAAAAAAATAGTTCAGCGTATTACATTTAAATTCTAGACATTTGATTTTTAAGATGTTGTACTAGTCAGCTGTGATGGAAGATGTATTGACATGCATATAAAACTCTGACATCCACTTGTGTCTTTCTGAGGATTTATTTTTTTCTGTGTTTGATCAAATACAAAATCTAGATGCATCTTAAATATGCATGAAATTCAGATTTGCTTGTATTATATCATTCTATCGATAGTTATGCTTTTTGGCATAATAATGATTAAAGATACTGTGGATTCATTATTATTCGTTGGATCCCAATTTTCTTGGATTTGGTGGGTATAGGTAATCCACGAAATTAAATGCTCAACAAAGTATAAATTTTCTATTGGCATTTATACAGACTTTGGCAAAACCATGAAATCAAATATCCACGAAAATGCAATTTTACCTCAATCCACGAAAAATTGGTATCCACGAAAATAAATTAATCCACAGTAGAAATAATGTGAAAAAGAGTGTCCTTTTTGAATTAACCTTGCATGTTAAGGAAATGATAAAAGTTGGTGCAGTGAAATTGGTACTGTTAATAGAATTGCAAACTATATATAATGATTGGATTATTGGGGAATTTAATTTGTTTTTAGGAGTTATCACCCGTAAGAGAAAAAACAACATCAAAGCTTAAGGTTCGAAAAGATTAATTGGAATTCTATTCTGGTAGACCATTTAATAATCATTGAAGAATGATTTTATTTCTATTTTCAGGTGGTCGTGTTAAGAACTGGAAGAGGAGGTGGTTTATTCTCAATGACAATTGTCTTTACTATTTCCAGTTTACAACAGTAAGTCACTGCTAATACTAAATCTTTAACTATTTACAGTATTAATGCTACACAAAGACAACAACATCGTAGATTACTGCAAGGAAAATCTTTATTATGGTCTACATGTTTCGCCACTTACGGTGGCGTCTTCAGGACAATTTAAACATAGAAAATAAATACTGAAGTACATAAAATGCGGTGCATATGGGGTTACAAAGGTTAACAAGACGTAACGTCACAATAATAGATTTGACAACGTTAAAATGAAAGTGAAAGTAAAAGTTAATAATGAATTGTCAGTGTCTTTTCCAAAATGGACAACACCTCACAGGACATTCCGTACCATTCCAAAAGGTTTCACTCGGAAAGAGGTACTACTTCCAATTGCGTCGGGAATGTTGTATTAAAGATGTATGGTAGTCGCACATGTAGGGCATGGTTGAAGTTGTGGTGAATTGGTTACATTTTGCGGTTGTGGTACACTATCCATGTTGCAAGTTTATTTCAACAATAATCGTGCGGTTTACAGTATTGTTCTTTTCCACTTTTTGAAGTGGTTGGTATGTAGTGATTAGGATGTCCGTCCTTCTACCCCACTGTTGTATCTGCCTGCCACTGCTCATGAACCACATGACAGAATTTTGTTTGTTTCACAGAATCCTAATCGTGATGTGCTTTGCCCCATCCAAGTCATATCTTCCAACTTAATAAATTTTGGGATTTACTTCGGAATGACATGAACTTTTATAGTACACATTTGTATCTTCTTCCTCTTCTAAAACTCAAACTAAATTTTAATGAACTTTTCACAGAATATTTATATAATGCCATTGTACACCTACTAGAATTTTTATATCCGAAATTTTATTTGAGTTTCCCTTAGCAAATTATGGACTTCAAGGGGCATTGGCATTATTTTGTGAACTTTACTAGCAGTAGTTCTGTTTTAGTTTTTTTGAGTATTCCCTTGCAGGTTCTGAACAATAACTTTCCACTACTACTGAGTATTCTTTTACAGCTTACACTACTGTAAATTCAGAAATTATTGGGTGCATTTATTATTGCGATTTTTTAAGAATGGACAAAAATGTGAGTTTTATTTTTGCGATTTCGAAAAAAAAGTTCATACAGGTCTATGTTTCAGATATCAGAATGCGAGTTTTTATTATTGCGATACCCACCCAGTCGCATTATTTGCATTATTAAAAACCTCACAATAATTTTTGAATTTACAGTATTCATCTGCTATCAATTTCTCTGAAATGATAAATTCTATTTTGATTTTTTCAATAGCTATTTAAAAGAATGTTATGTATTATAATATACTTTTCTAGGACAAAGAGCCTAAAGGAATTATACCTCTAGAGAATATACAGGTCCGTGAGGTACCAACAGAGAAAGCGAACAAACCTAATTGTTTTGAGCTGTATACACCAGTACAAGACATCATCAAAGCATGTAAAATGGACAAAGAAGGCAAAGTGGTAGAAGGTATATAGATAAGTCATCTTATAACGTTTGCGTCTTTGTTGAATATGAGGTATTGGGACACATCAATGAGACAGCATTCTTACAATACAAACCAGTATAAGGTCAATGACATTTAAAACAGCTGATGAAAAATGTTTTCAACTAAAACCTTTCAGAAAGATGACACAAAACAGAACAAACTTATTATAATCACCGTAAAAATCTGTAAACCAGCTATAAATTAAAAAACCCTGGCCTAGCATTTGGATATGTTGGCAGATTTGACCAAAAAGTTTTGGTTCAATTTTAATTTTGTGGAATGGAAATTAGACAATGACATTTTAATGACAGTGTTTACATTCTATTTCATTTGTAGTTAAGAATGTTTTAGTAGATTGTAAACTTATATTATCAACACTGTCTTTGTAGGAAAACATAGTGTATATAGGATGTCTGCAGCCACTAAAGATGACAAAGATGAATGGATCAGATGTATAAAGTAAGTAGTATCATTGATAACAATGTCTTGACAATTTATTGATCGGATATCGGAGAAGCAGTTTATAAATACTTATTTGAATTTTTTGGTTTGCCAGGGAACTTTAAGGGATTTTCTTCACCTTGACAATTTCTTGAAGATCACTGAATCACACCCTACAGCAAGATCAAGATAGCTTGTAAGTTATTTCAACTTGATCGGGTAGACCTTGGTTAAGAGAGACAACTCTATATCAGTAATGGGATTGTAGGTTACTATAAACCATAAGGTCTTGTGGGTGCAGCCATTTCATGAAGATAACATGATATTCAGAATTAAGAGTATGGCTGATTTGTGGTTGTGTGGACCCAATATTTTTTATTACTAAACACTTTGTGCACTCCGAGTTATACCAAAGGCATAATAATGTATTTTTCTTAGCCCTAAGGACCTGAGAAGTCCTTTCTAAGCTGTGACAAGACACATATTTTTAAGTGCAGAATTGATAGGAAAGGGAGGTGGGGGCAGATTGTGTTAGGCAAGGAAGGTGGGTGCAGATTGTGTTAGGCAAGGGAGGTGGGTGAAGATTGTGTTAGGCAAGGGAGGTGGGTGCAGATTGTGTTAGGCAAGGGAGGTGGGTGCAGATTGTGTTAAGAAGAGCAACAGGAACCTATATTTTTATCTCGCCTGCAATGAAAGTCGGGGAAAGCGAAACATAGGGATTGCTTTTCCGGCGACAGCGTCAACAATTGTTAAGTTTTCTGCTTAAGTTAGTTTAATAGGAACTACTTGTGATAGATCATTGATATTTAATATAAAGTTGCATTACTATCAGTACGTATCAGTTTGATGACTATTTCGGGGCCCTTCCCCCTAGGTCATGGTCAACTTTGAAATGATTAGCAAATTTTCATAGTTTGATAGGATCTACTTGTGATAGATCAATGATATTTTGTATGAAGTTGCATTACTATCAGTTCAAATCAGTTTGACGATTATTTTCAGGCCCTGCCCACTATATTATGGTCCAGCGACTGAATTAATAAACCATATTGCTGTCCATCAGATGTCTTTTTCTGAATTTTATGCCGACAGGCGAGACATTTCTCTTGTGTCAACATTTTATTTAGATTTTAAAATTACTGTCATAATTATTTGTTTTGAAAAAGGCTATTATTTTCGCATATGGGGAAATCTATTGTAGTTTGAAATCTGTAAACGTTATTTTCATCAATGCTTTTCAAGCCCATGTGAAACAGAATTAAAAGCTGGGTAACTTAGAATTTTGGTATGTAATAATGAAAGTGGTTGACATAAATGTACTTGTGTTTGTTAAAAGTTATGTCTCTAACAATAAGTCGAACTCCTGGATTCAATTAATTGCATATAAAACTGTTATATATTCTGTTTCAGAGCTAGTATTAGTGAAAATCCATTCTATGACATGCTGGCAGCTAGAAGGAAGAAGGTGCTACACCAAAAATAAAGACATCTTTATAAAAAGATACATGTATATATTGTAAATATAGGTGTATATTTATGTAACTCACAGTTGTATATCAGGTTTATTGTTTAGAAGCTTTTAGACCTGTATAGTCATGTACAGCTTTTTTATAACTGCAAATGTTCGAGACATTTTATAAATTTATGGAAAAAACCTTGTCTTCCATTGTGATACAGGTTGCCTTCAGATTCTAATCAATTGTGATAAAAGGCCAAAATATAAAATAGATAAGTGTGTTTCTGGTCTCTCAAGCTTTGTTATATATGTATATCCTTAGAGTTCGTTGACAATTTTTGGTAAAGTATTTAAAAGTCATTATTTTCATTATTTTTTTAGAATAAATAAGTAGGATTTCTTTTATTAGCTATTAAAACAAAAATAACAAAATAGATCCTTTCCTATTTTTTAAAACTGAAATCTGAAACATGCTTTTTTGAGTTTGTCTTAAATTCATACATTCTTGGTAAAAAAAATTACTGATAGCAGAGAAACTCAGGAATCTAGTTATTATTATCTTATGTTAAGATAAACATCATATGAATTTTATGTTCATGGAAAAGTTGAATGGTAACCCAAGTTGTTTCTCATAAAAGCAGTTATTAAACAGTGCAGTTGTTTTATTTTTAATTATGTATATAGATATTTGTTTAACCATGAATATTATATCATTAATGTTGGAATTTGACTCACAGAGAACATCAGACTCTGCCAATTCATTACATTGAGTACAAATGAATTATTTAAAAAACAAGTCTATCACTGCTTAAAATTGCTAAACAAAATTTCATCATGCTTGATTGTTTTTTTTTTCAATTATCTACCCGTCTCAAGAAGAGATTATTACATTTTACACATCAAGTTGTAGAATCTGATTAAAATTTCTATGGTACTTTTGACGTTTTGTAGAGTGGTAGGAATTCTTGTAGATAGTTTCTGTGTGATTTCTCTGATATAGATGATGAGAAGTATGATATTATTTTTCAGGGTAACATGTTCATTGTTAACTGGCAGTTTCTGAATCTAAAGGACTCTGGGTAATTTTATTGTTTGAACCCAAAAATGAAAATAACGTTACGTCATTGGTTGAATTTCCATTGTTGAGGACGGTTTTGACCAATCACGACATCTTGTTATACACTTTTGTAAATATTAACCAGAATACATTAGATTCTGAAACGGCAAATTATCTTCTATACAACCAATTTATGTGTTATTCAAGTTTTTTGGTGACTAGTCAGTTCAATTAAGGTTTTATCAAGAGATATTCAAACAGTGTTGAAGTCATTGTTCATAGTTTTCAACATAATTTAAGTGTGAGTTAATCACCTTGGTCACCATGTTGGAAGGCAAACTGGTTGATTTTTCTTTTTAACTAACCAAATTAAAACATGTGATATAAGTAAGTCTGATAAGAGAAGCTTGCTTGTTTGTATTTATAAATTATACAAGGCTTACACAAATCAAAACTGTTTAGATATCTACCTTTTTTTTTTGAAGTCGGGCTGACCTCAAAGATTCATTGGACAATAGCAATAAAATTTAAGAAGAATTGACAACTTAAACAATTATTGCTTAGTATATAAATGATTTCTAGTGTTAGTGGTTAACTTTCGTAAAATAGGGCCATAGTAAAACATGATAGAAAATCTCACCAAAAACATGACAATGACATTACAATATTCATCTTAATCATGGGAACTGCAGAAAGTTGTATAGAATTCACTGTAAGATCATGAAATGAGGGGAAATAGCCATATACTGTTCTCCGAAGACTTTTATTAAAAGAACTGGACAAGAAATATGGTTTCCAAATAATTTATAACAAAACCCTATTGTTAGTTGGTTGAGATTTTCTTCTGTTTACAAATATGTAGAAATTCTCTATTTCTTTCAAGTATTAGCATGATTTGCTCACAATGTAATATACTCATATATAACCTAGTCATAATACATGTTATAATATATTGTGGAATTTTGTAAGCGTCTGTATTTTGTAAGTGTCTGTATGTTGTGAGCTTTTAATTATCTGTTGAAAGTTTTTTTTGTGTATAAGGAAACTGTTTGAATATTTGTACTTTAGTACGTTGTGAATGTGTAAATGTCTTGACTAAGAGAGAAATAATGATAATGTGTGAAAATGAACGTGTTTAATTGCTGAATAGAATGTATTAATGTAATATTATAAGTGTCCCTTAGTGATTGGTACTAAAATAATAAATTTAGTTTTTTTTTTTTTTTAAATGCAAATGAATTTATAAAGGTAAAGAACTGAAATGAATTAAGATGTGAGTTACCAGTTCCAATTGAAATTATATAAAGTATTAAACAATAGGGATCATTTCTTAAAATAGGATTAAGTAGTAATGGACAAGTGTGTCAAGCTGGTTGAGTCAATGATTTCTGTGTGTATGAAAGGAAAGTAAGTAATGGAAAATACATATTTTCAAAAATGTGATAAAGTTTTATAGTTTGAAAGTTACTGAATAAAAGTTGTGTGTTCATTGTTTGTAAATGTAATAAGTGTGCATTATACACAAAAGTGGGTTTAATTATAACATGGATATTTTTATTGTTGTATTTTATTAAACCTGTATTGAACATAATCTGTCACAGAAGTAGTGTAAATTCATATGCCAGTACTCAAGTTATAAATAAGTTTTGTACCAGAAATTAAAACAATTAAAAAATTACAAGAACAGACTGGTGCATTCAGTTGTAATTACGTTATATTTAAAAATTGTAATATTTCTATAATGAAGGTCTGAAAAAAATATGTGTAAAAACAAATCCCCCCCAAAAAAAACTTACACAAACTGGCTTTACAAATAGAACTAATTTAATGGTATTATTCAATAACTATAGCCACTCACAAGATCTCATTATTTCATTTTATCTGTGTATTTTGATTAACCATGTTCAACTAATGAGTAAGCATTACACAGATTTTAATAATCATTTTCATTTTAATGTCATCGTAGTAAGGCATAATTCATTATTCTTTGGATTTTATTTGATTTTATAAGACACAATAGATGAAGTCACTCATATATCAGGGAATACATAAAAAGATATATTTCATTATTCTCTGAATTTTATTTTATTTTATAAGATACAGTAATTGGAGAAAATCATTTTTAAATAAGTATACAAATAATAAAGAAATTTGAAATGTTATGCAAATGTAATCATGAAAAATAAAGATGATCCAATCTTATTATTATGTGATTATTATAGTCTTCTTTGGTAAAATGTTGTCTTACTCTAATTTTTTTTCCCTTCTACTTACAAAGTAACAATTTTTAGCTAACCTCGCTCATGTGTGCTTTTGTTTGTCAATTTGCATCTGCCATGCATATTAAGAGACAATTTTCATCTTTTCTTCTGAAACCATTATGCCATTTTGAACCAAATTTGGCAGAAACATTGTATGGAAGGTCCTTTACACAAATTCTTTATTTTTTTCCAATCTAATGAGATATATGACTTCAAGAGGCATTCTTTGATTCTGATCAGCCTATTTTGAATGATGATCAGGATGCAGCATTGTTGTCATTGGTGTGGATTAAAGCAACTATAGGTCAACATACAGCCTTCAACAATAGGCAAAACTTACAATGAAGAGTAAGCGTTAAAAGGCCCAGGCATGACAAAATGTAAAATAATTCAAAAGAGAAAACCATTGACCTGATTTATGTAAAAACTATAAGCAAACAAAAATGCTAAGTTGGCTGGAATGAACATCAGGTCTATGGATGGTGGCATTAAAGAGCACAAGGTCTACAGTAACATTAATTAAAATAAGGTCTACAGTGGCATTAATGGAAATAAGGCTGCAAAGGCATTAATAAATATAAGAAATCAAATTGTTGTCCAGACCATTTTTATGTATGCCTACTGATATGATATGATTTTGATAATGATGTCTTACAGATAGAGTTTGATTTTTGTTCCTGTTGACTCACTTTTAGCAGAATTTTGGCTTTTGGACCTGCTGAAAGTTGTACTTAACCTCACTTTTTTTCTGTGACTACAGATCCAGAGCTGACTTTCAGTGTGTTAGGGTATAATGACAACCAAGAGATAAACTTTGCATTTTGTTCTGATTTAGCAACTATTTGTGGGATTCCAGGTCAAATTTAAATAGCCGGTGATATCTTGTCATTCTATTTGACCAATTTTTCCCATTTAACAAGTACATAATGATTTTCTTTGTTTAAACCTATGAACAAAGATGCCAGTGTATGTCCCTGATACAACTATCCTTTTAATTGAATTCCCGGAAACCTACATTTATTGATAAGGCTGCAGGCAGTGGCATTCATGTTGCACTGACACCTCTGGTTTTTGTCGAGCCTGCAACTTCTGTTGCAGAAAGCTCGATATAGGGATAGTGATCTTTTGGCGGCGGCAGTGTTAATTAACTTCTTTAAAGCTTAATATTTCAGAAGGTAGAAGACCTGGATCCTTCATACTTTGTATATAGATGCCTTATGTTATGAAGTTTCCGTCTGTCATATGTCCATTGTCCTTGACCTCATTTTCATGGTTCAGTGACTACATGAAAAAAAAGTTAAGATTATTAGTATTCTTAATATCGCTCTTATTTTGAGTAGTAGGATAACTATATTTGGTATGTGCAAACCTTGCAAGGTCCTCATGCCTGTCAGACAGTTTTCACTTTACCTCAACCTCATTTCATGGATCATTGATCAAGGTTAAGTTTTCGTGGTCAAGTCCATATCTCAGATACTATAAGCAATAGGTCTACTTTATTTGGTGTATGGAATGATTGTAAGGTGTACATGTCCAACTGGAAGGTGTCATCTGACCTTGACCTCATTTTCATGGTTCAGTGGTTAAAGTTAAGTTTTTGTGTTTTGGTCTGTTTTTCTTATACTATATGCAATAGGTCAACTATATTAGGTTAATGTGATAGTTGTAGTGAAGCTTTATATTTAGGATTATCAACATTAAATCAATGGTCAGTAAAGAAGGCGTGTGCACTCTTGTGGTAAATAAAACTAATGAAAAAGTAGGTTAAAATGAACCTATATAACTAGTTAAGAGCCTGTGTCGCTCACCTAGGTCTATGTGCATCTTTAACATTGTAGACTACTGTTTACAGTTTCTATCTTATTTAGTTTTTGCCCAAAACACAAGAGGGTAAAAAAAATCGCTATTTAAGGGCAATCACTCCTTTCTACTAACTTTTTTTTGTAGAATGTGACCTGATTGTAGATCTTGTCTTGCTGATCATTTTTGTTATCTAAAGTTTCTATCTATCTTTTAAAGTTTTCAAGATAATAGGCAAAAACAGAAAAAAAAATTGTAAAAAAGGTCATTAAAGAGCAATAACTTCAATAACCAGATGACTGAAGAATTTAGCTATTAGACTTATTTGTAGATCTGGTCTTGCTAATCACTTATGCTGTTTTAAGTTTCTATTTATCTATTGTAGTTTTTAAGATTTTAGGCAAAAAAAAAACAATGGTAAAAATTGTCATTAAAGGGTAATAACTTTAATAAGGAATCGATTGACGATTTCTGCTTTATTAACTTATTTGAAGATCTTGTCTTGCTGATCAATTTTGCTGCTTGAAGTTTCTCTCTATCTATTATAGTTTTCAAGATAATAGGCAAAATCAAAAAAAAGTAGTAAAATTCGTAATTTTTGGGCAATAACTCCTTTAAGAAATTGTCTGGACAGTTTTGAAGTAAATAGATAATAGGCAGAGCTCAACATTCTGAACATTTTTGCCCCTGTAAGATTTTCTCTATTGATAGCGGTTTTCAAAATAATAGACAAAACTTAAATTTTATCCCATGTTCTATTTTTAACTGTCTGCCATCTTGGTTGGCAAAAGAGGGAGGAGGGGATGTCTCGCATGCGACAAAAGTTGCAGTATGCAAGACATGGGTATTACTATCCGGCATAAACTATTTTTATAAAGCGTTATATTTCAGAAGGTAGAAGACCTGGATGATTCATACCTTTTATGCAGATACCTTATGTTACAAAGATTCCTTCAGTCATATGCCCATTGTCCTTGACCTCATTTATATGGTTCAGTGACTGCTTGAAAAAAAATTAAAGTTTTTTCGTCATGTGAATTTCTCACTTATTATGAGTAATAGGATAACGATATTTGGTACATGGGTTCCTTGCAATGTCTACCTCATTTGAATGGTTCATTGGTCAATGTTAAGTTTATGTGTTTTGGTTTGTTTTTCAAGTACTGTAAGCAATAGGTCAACTATATTTGGTTTATGGAATGATTGTAAGGTGTACATGTCTGTCTTGCCGGTGTCATCTGACCTTGACCTCATTTTCATGGTTCATTGGTTAATGTTAAGTTTTTGTGTTTTGGTCTGTTTTTAGTCCCCTACCGAATAAGTCAAAGGGGACTTTAGTTTTTCACAACGTCTGTCGGTCCATCCATCAGTCCGGCAAATCAGTTTTCCATACTTTTTTTCGTCATACTTGAAGATATCGATTTGTTAATTGGTATATAGTTTTATCATTTGTTAACAAGTTACAGATCAAGTTTGAATTTTGTTCTGGTCTGATGATTTTGTGCAGAGTTATGGTCCTTGGAGTTAGAAAATTCACTCAAATAATCAGTTTTCCTCACTTTTTTTCGTCATGCTTGAAGATATTGATTTGATAATTGGTATATAGTTTTATCATGACAAGTTACAGATCAAGTTTGAATTTCTGCTCTGATGATTTTGTGCAGAGCTATGGTCCTTGGACTTCGAAAATTCACTTAAATAATAAGTTTTCCACACTTTTTTTCATCATGCTTGAAGATATTGACTTGATATTTGTTATATAGTTTACACCATGACATGTTATAGATCAAGTTAGCATATTGTTCTAGTACAATGAATAAAATAAAATGCTCCGCAGGGCGCAGCTTGATACGACCGCAGAGGTCGAACCCTGAACAGTTGGGGCAAGTATGGACACAACATTCAAGCTTGATACAGCTTTGCATTTGGATTGTGATTAAATATTTGACACAGCATAGGTTTCTGACACAGAATGAATGTGGTCTAAGAACTTAAAAATTTTAAATTGGACATTCACCTATTATGGTCCAATATCCAAAATCTAAATACATGGTTAGATTCAGCATATCAAAGAACCCCAAGAATTCAATTTTTGATGAAATCAAAAAAAGTTTAATTTTGGACCCTTTTGACCTCAATGTGGACACAGTTGACAACGGGGCCCAAAAATCAAAAATCTAAATACATGGTTAGATTCAGCATATCAAAGAACCCCATATATTCAATTTTTGTTGAAATCAAACAAAGTTTAATTTTGGACCCCAATTTGGACCAACTTGAAAACTGGGCCCATAATCAAAAATCTAAATACTTGTTTAGATTCAGCATATCAAAGAACCCTAAGAATTCAATTTTTGTTAAAATCAAACTAAGTTTAATTTTGGACCCTTTGGACCTTAATGTAGACCAATTTGAAAACGGAACCAAAAATTAAGAATCTAAATACACGGTTAGATTTGGCATATCAAAGAACCCCAATAATTCAATTTTTGATGAAATCAAACAAAGTTTAATTTTGGACCCTTTGGACCTAAATGTGGACCAATTTAAAAACAGGGCATAAAATCCAAAAACTAAATACACGGTTAGATTCAGCATATTAAAGAACCCCAAGAATTCAAGAATAAAACCCCATTGAAATTGGTCAAGAAATAAGCAATTTATATGAAGTATCTTCTTTTGCACAATACTGTGCAATTAAATATTTCTTGCTATTGCGCAATACTGTACAATTGACAATTTCTTGCTATTGCGCATACTGTGCTATTGGATATTTCTTGCTATTGCGCAATACTGTGCAATTGAAGATTTCTTGCTATTGAGCAATACTGTGCAATTGAAGATTTCTTGCTATTGTGCAATACTGTGCAATTGAAAATTTCTTGCTATTGCACAATACTTATTATATAATAATTTACACATCCTGTTTGGTGTGTATCTCCTACCATATCATTATTATTTGCTTTTAAATACAAATCAGAAATAACCAACTTAAAATGGAAAATTTTAAAAGAAAAAAAAAAGGAAAAAAGGAAAAAAAAAGGAAAAAAAAAAAAATCCCCCCCCCAAAATTTTTTGAACCCCCTTATGATTCATCACCCTCAAATTAATCCCAGCCTTCCCTTTGTGGTATGGTACCTTGCAGTACAATTTCAGAGAGATCCATACACTTGAACACAAGTTATTGTCTGGAAACTAGAAAAATGTGTTTTTTGGCCCCTTTTTGGCCCCAAATTCCTAAACATTTAGGGCAATTACCCCAAAACTCAAACCCAGCTTTCCCTTTGTGATATGGAACCTTGTAGTACAATTTCAGAAAGATCCATACACTTACACACAAGTTATTGTCCTGAAACTAGAAAAATGCTTGTTTTTTGCCCCTTTTTGGCCCCTAATTCCTAAAATATTGAGGCAATTATCCCCATCATCAATCCCAGCCTTCCATTTGTGGTATGGTACCTTGCAGTACAATTTCAGAGAGATCCATAAACTTGAACACAAGTTATTGTCTGGAAACTAAAAAAATGCTGATTTTTGGCCCCTTTTTGGCCTCCAATTCCTAAACGTTTCTGCAATTACCCCCAAACTCAATTCCAGCTTTCCCTTTGTGATATGGAACCTTGTAGTACAATTTCAGAAAGATCCATACACTTACACACAAGTTATTGTCATGAAACTAGATAAATGCTTGGTTTTTGCCCCTTTTTTGGCCCCTAATTCCTAAAATTTTGAGGCAATTACCCCAAAATCAATCCCAGCATTCCTTTTGTGATATGGAACCTTGTGGTACAATGTCAGAGAGATCCATACACTTAAACACAAGTTATGTCTGGAAGTTACAAAAATGCTTATTTTTGGCCCCTAATTCCTTTACTGTTGGTACCATAACCCCCAAAATCAATCCCAACCTTCCTTTTGTGGTAATGAACCTTGTGGTAAAATTTCATAGAGATCCATTCACTTAAACTAAAGTTAGAGTGCGAAAACCAATGTGTCTTCGGACGACGCAGGACGACGACGACAACGTCATACCAATATACGACCACAAAAATTTTTTTGCAGTCGTATAAAAATAACATTTTATAAATTTTGTGCATCCAAAGTGCTTTTCTAGATTTACATTTATATCAAGAATGCTCAAACCAACAAATTTGAAAGTTAAGGAGGATTAAATTCTTAGATATATCTCACAAAACATGTTTAACCCCACTGCATATGTGTGCCTGTCCCAAGTCAGGAGCCTCTGGCCTTTGTTAGTCTAGTATGTTTTTTTAATTTATGTTTTGGAGTTTAGTGTGACGTCCATTTTCACACTGAACTAGCACACAATTTTATTTAGGGGCCAGCTGAGGACCACCTCCGGGTGCGGGATTTTCTCGCTGCATTGAAGCCCATTGGTGGCCTTCGGCTGTTGTCTGCTTTTTGGTTGGGTTGTTGTCTCTTTGACATATTCCCCATTTCCATTCTTAATTTTACTAAATGATTATGATGTGATGAAAGCTGATTTATACAAAAATTTGGCCGAGTGTAAAATATAAGTCTTAGTGATAATCTTTTTTCTGACTGTGAACATACTCATTTACTGTATGGCACATCATGTAATAGATGGTCAGAGGTATGAATGTTAACTTTAACCAAATCAGTAGAGCATGGAAATTAGGCCAAAACTACATTGTACTGTAAATTCAGAAATTATTGCGAGGTTTTTATTAATGCGAATAATGCAACTGATTGAGAATCACAATAATAAGAACTCACATTATCATATCTGCTACATAGATACGTTTGCTGATTTTCAAGAAATCGCAATAATAAATGCACGTATTAATTTCTGAATTTACAGTAAAATGTTTGTCCATCACTGTAGATAATGCATACCTCTAAATGACCTTTATTGGTTGGGTTTGCTGTACAAGAGGAGAGTAAGGATGTCTACAGCTATCCCCACTCCCCTCCTTTTGGCATTTAAAGGAAAAAAGTACTGACAAAAAAGAATTTTATGATTTTATTTATATATATTTCACTCTGAATTCATGATCAAATAAATTCTTGATAACATTCAATCTATCAACCATTAATTTTATACAATCATTATTGCAATTCTTAATAAATACAATAAATATCTCTTAGTCAAAAACAAGCGAAGATAAATAAATCAATTACTGGTCAATTACTGGTACTCCCTTCTGTAAAATCAAATCTGATCATCCTGCTACCATAAAATTGTAATGGTTGACTCTAGGCAAAGTGTAGGAAGAAGTCATCCTTTAAAAGGTTTTCTCACACAAACCAGTTCAGGAATGCATTTCACATAAAGTTGTATGATTTAAGACCAGTTATCATTCCTATAGTTTCAGGTTTACAACTGGTTGTAAGTTGTACAATCTTTTCTGAAATGCAAACCTGTACCTTCGTCATATGTTAAAATATAAAAACTCACAAGTGTTTCATTTTCAAGTAAAATATATTATAAGTTAAACATAGTTTACCTGAAAGTAATAATGTAGCAAAATCTTCAAATTTTCTTCCAATTTATATTGGTTTTCATTCATTGTTTAACAAAAGTTTTAAGATTAATGACTTGTAACTTCATAATTATTTTTTGTACAGAATAAAAGAAAGAAAATTGACATGTGGATTCTTCATTGCTTGATAAAAAAAAAACAACCTAGCAACAACAAGCTTACATGACCGAATCTGATATCATTCAATGAAGTATTTTCAAATAACAATGATTTATTTGTAATCAACTGACAGCTGAAAACAACCAATGCACAATGAGAAGGCACTTTGAGATGTCCTCATTTTTGTTCCACACTAATGAAGCAATTAAAATAAACTGAATCTTTTGGTTTTTATTCAATTTTCTTGTCATCCTCACACGGTTAAGAAGGAATCACACTGTATCAAAAGAATCAAGCAAGTCAGAAATTATTTTAGAACTTCATTATTGGAATAATGAATAATGATTGATATTACTTTAAATGAATATATAATTACAGAAACTGGTATTTGCTGAATTAATCTTTGATTAAACAAAATAACTTAAGAATTTTAGTCAATAAGGACCTTCCCAATTGCTAAATCTAGTATAACTGCTCTAAGTGAGGGATAAAAACACCAGAAATAGAACAATAAACAGATTAAAGGGTTTTTTGCTAATATATATCATAAAATATCAATGTGTAATTATTTTGCTCACTCGCCTAAAAAGTTAACATAGCGGCTTGAGGCTGATATTTTATGATATCATGGAGTATAAAACCCAACAGACTGAGCATACAGATAATACTATTAACCACAACAAATGATAAGAATTGATGTATGGAAACTGATGAACAGTGATTAATACATGGAGGTATTATGAAATTATATGTAAAAATGAAAAAGATCATACATTGTATTTCAGAGGCATACATTACTTGGCAAGTTTTTAACAGTATACCATAAAAACTTTGCAAATCAAAATTTTTATCTAATGAGAATACTCAAAGTATTCTGCAAGCTTTTATTCACATATAAAATCTGCACACAAGATTTTAGATTCTAATAAAAAATTAAATCGTACATACAAATAATTTTGTTGTAATACATGTAATAGTAATAATTATTTTTTTTAAATCCATTAAATTTACTGTTTTTTATTTCATTATATCAGAAAATAATCTAATTTATGATTTTACCAAAAAACAATTATAAAATCAAAGGTTAAAATTATTTTTAAAAGATGCATCAAACTTTATGATCTCCGCCAAGGTGTTTAAACATATTTCTGATACATCATTACTTGGAAAACCACAGGGATATAGATAAGGAATACCAGTATAAACAACTCTCTCTCACTACTATTAAACAGACAACAAACATAAAACTGAAAGACTCAACCAAAATAGTATATATCAACCTTATACAACAAAGTATTTTACCACTGTACTTCAAAATAATGATCTGTGTTAGTTTATTGTCCGGTGAAAATATTTCAAAACATATGCAGGACAATGGCCTCACTCAAGATATGGCTAAAAGGTCATCAAAATAATTATTCCTGCTAATGTATGTCAATGAAGAAGGAGCAATTTTTATTGTAAATCCCTTCCCCTTAAAAACAAATTAACAAGAATTTAAGCAAGAATTGATGTGCTTCATACCCAAACCTATTATTATAGTATGTATTTATAATACACAGCAATGGGGGAATATGAAATATAATACACAATGACTAGTTTATGGTACAGCCATTTCCATTTCACATTTCTGTGAAAAAGAATTATGCCTGATAATTTTCCTCTTATTCAAACATATATACAAATTGAAGGCATTAAGATGTTCTCTTTTTGAATACTACACAAGTGAGGAGATAATTCTTGCCATCTGACATTATTTTAATTACGATATAATATTGGTTGTGTTTTTGCCTTATTTCTAATTAAATATTATACATTCATTCAAGAATACAAGGTTAGTTGGTAAATTGGTTATATAGTTTCCTGAAGATATAATAATAGAATCCTGGTAAACAGGAAAACAATATAGTAGGGCTCTTTACCTTGAAACAGGAAACCCATATGGAATACTCCTGTCTATTTCCCCGAATTAATTATTATTTTAAGTACAGTGGCAGTCAATAATTACAGTTTATATATTGCACTTCAAATATTGTCAAAAGAACATACTACTAAAAACAAAATATATTTTCTCGACTATTTTTCTTAAGTTAGTAACTCTATTCACAGAAACTTTTACAACCAAGGTTATAACAACATATATGCAAACCACCTCTTGATCCAAACAATAGATATTGTTGACGATGTCTGTAATTTGTTTTTTTTTTCTATCTATAATTACATGTAGATGTTAACCATTAAGTATTATTTAAAAAAAAAACTGTTTGAGAATACATTCAGTGACTGCTACACAGAATCATACAGGAGACAGAACAGATCAACTTCTACTGTATATAATCCAGAGAGATCTAGAAGTATATTTTCTCAGTCATTAAAGTGCTTAAAATTACAGGGCTATCAATGAAAACAAATCATCAAATGATTCTAAACAATAACTTAGCAGGGAAATCCATGTCAAAAACACAGCTGACAGCTATTTCAGGAATAAATACATAAACATTATCAAAAAAGTTGCAATGGTTGGTACCTGCATTCAAATATAAACTTCATTAATTTATAATTTTTATTGAAAAAAGCCACGAGAATGTTAAAAAAATGTTAGTTCATATACAAATGCATGCATAATAGCATTAGATGCAACTCTTAGAAAATCACAGTTGTTTCAATTATACACACATCTTCATAACTGCTCGACTTTTACACAAAATGAAATGGCATTGAGATCAACATGGACAAAAATCATGTGACCCGATAACACAAAACATGGGTATAGCTGTCTGGTTTTACACTGGTTCCCTGATGATTCTTCAGCAGCACTTTAATACTTCTGGCCAGAGTTGTGTTTCCTGTGGTCTCTATGGCCTTGGTTTCCACGGTAGCTGTTGTGATGACCTTTGTAACCTGAGTGGTGATGATGTTGATGATTGTGGTAAGAATGAGACTGACCAACGCTATGGTTTCCACTAAAATGCTACAGAAAGTAAAAAAAAATCAGTATTAACTCCATCAATTATGTTTAAACAATACTCAACATAAAATTCCTTGTACATCATACCCTTAAGGTATATATTACTCAAATTCTTAAACTCTGTATTCTTATCTTTTTGAAAGTTCTCCCCTAGACTACAAGGGTTGTTGTAAGAATGGTGGTGTTAAATATATTTTTCCATAACTTACCTTTGAGTTATCTTTATTCCGTTCATCCTGGACATATTGAAACACATTGGATCCATGTAAAGCTGTATCTGAGTAATGTTGCTTCACCTTTTTAACCTGAAGCAAAATTTTGGATTACACTTTACTTTCAAAAGAAATGTTATTAAGTTTAAAATTTGCATATACAGTATCAATGGCTACTGTGAATGTTTGTTAATTTTTGACACTCAATGTATATTGACCTGCAACACTTTCACCTGTAGGCTCTTAAAATGACTATTTTCTTGGAATTATAATTTCATGATTTCTAGAAGTTTATGAAGTTTTATTATTTTGTGTTATTCTTGTCCATTCCTTGCAAGTTGCAAAGACATATTGTAGGGTAAACTTATGCTTGGATATCCTTCCCCTTTCATCTGTAAATTACTGTAACTTCTGACTGATCAATACCTTTCCTGTGTCTATTTCTTCATCATAATCCTCTGACCAATGTCTCTTTCTCTCTTTATCTTTCTCTACTTCTTTGTCTAAAGTGCTCTTTCCTCCATCCCATGATAAAACTGAAAATACAAGATTTGAATCAGCAAAGAGATAAACAAAGTCAATCAATTCAATTCATTTTAATGGTTACAAAAAATGTGAACTTGTCAAAAGTTATCATATATTTATCAATCATGATGAACTTTTTTCTAAAACCATGTTTAACATACAGTGATAGACAAAATTATTCAGGTGTAAAGTAATAGTCTTTAATTCACACTTAATCAATAAATACATAACAATTTTATTTAGATTTCTTACTCGTTCTTGATCTCAGATTTCATAGAACTTCAAATTACAAAATCGTTATCAGCATTGTAAACTTACATTTTTAACTGATCATCTGGTGTTACATAAAACACAATGGATTTAAAATCAGAGAGGGTTCAAACTAAGAAAGGTACACGACTCTTGGACTATAAGACTAACAGTTTGATATGTATGTTTGCTTATTTACCTGAGGGACCAAAGCTATGCAGTGATGCGGTTTTCTCTAAGGTCTCAGCCACAGATGAGTTTTTACTACCATCCCATGTAGGTTTACTGTGAGAGCCATTCTTCTGTCTCTTATATCCATCTTTCACATGATGATCCCAAGACTGTACAGGAGCTAAACAAATCAAATAATATGTATAAAAAGAAATTGTTTAGTCGTTCAAATAAAGGTGATTAGATATAATCGAGTAAATTTATACTGTTCAAATATATGATGAGGTGCAGTAACAATATTAATGATGTTGACCTCTTACAATTTTCAAAAAAAAAATTCTTAATTTTTTTATGGGCATCAAATTACCTACACTTTCATAAACCAAACAGTACAAATATTTGATGAGGTGCAGTGACAATGATGTTGATCTCTTACAATTTTCAAAAAAAAAATCTTAATTTTTTTATGGGCATCAAATGACCTACACTTTCATAAACCAAACAGTACACTCAACACATTATCATAATTATGATTGCACAGATTGTTTAGAATTAGAATATGAAAAAAAATATGCGACTTAACAATACAGATATTTCACTAATATCCATTATGACAAAGATGCCAAATAAATCACACCATCATACTGATGTCACTCATATCGCACTCTGACAAAAATATTTCACTCATATGGTACTATGTCGTCCTGAACATGCATGAATTATTTGTCACTAGACATTAAGCAACCAACACATGCAACAATCAATCAATCACAATGTCATGAATGTCATTAGTCTTAATAAATTAAGCTGTTAATTCTGTAAAAAATTATTTTATTATCTATATATTTTTCTTGTCCTGTTTTTTAGGATTTTTGCCACATTTGTTTATTTACTTTTGTACTGTAACACACCAAAAAGAAACTTACCACTCTGACTTGTTTTACTGGTCAACGAGTCCTTTGTTTTCTCTATCCAGACAAGTTCTGTACTATCGTCTGACTCAGTATCCAGTTTCCTTTTCTTACTGTCGTCATGGTGACGTTTTTTATCTTCATCATCCCTGTGTCTCTTCTTCTTTTTTTCACTAAAATCTTCCTCTTCTTTGTCTTTCTTATGTTTATGTTTCTTCTTTTTATGCTTTTTACGTTGTGTTTCCGTGTCAGAACTGCTGACTGATTCCTGATGTTTATAATCTTTATTTTCATGTTCTTTCTCATGCTTACGTTTCTTCTTTTTATGTTTTTTACTGTATTCTGTTGGATCTGCATTAGACGAAGTTATAAGATTGTCTTTAGAAGCTAACTGGTAGTTATGATCAGATCTCACATCTGAAAAAGTATCATGAACATTGACCTCTTTCACTGACACAGAAGAATTGGACTCCTTTGAAGTTTCTGCTACATGTCTATGACCACTTTTAGAGTCTGACTGATTGGTGCCATCTGTTACCTTCCATCCAGCATGCTGGCAGTTTGGCACTTTTGGAAATAGAGGAACATCTTTTGAATCCTTGATCTGCCACTCAGTGGTAGAATTATTACTTTCCTTACTGGAATTAGAGCCTCGCGAAGGACTTAGGATCAAATCCTGATTAAGAACATGCCAGTTTGATGTTGCATTAATCTTAGTAGTCGTAACACAAGACAAACTAGAAATTTCAAGCATACTCTTCTTATCAGATATTAAGTCTTTACTGGCATTTATGGGTAATGAATGTCCGTTATTTTTGTGTTTCATCCCACCATTGGCTCTGCTCTCTTTTTGTGACGTTTCCAATAAATGTTGATTTCCAGGGACAGAAGTTGTTGCATTCAGTTTCTGATCAAAGATTACACCATTTCCATTCCTATGTTTTGCAGAACTTTCATTTTCTACTTTCATTTTATCCATCTGAGATTGTACTTTGGGTACAGGTCCATTAGTTTTTGTCTGACCAATTTCATCCTCTGAATCACTCTCACCGTCATATGGAACCAGTTTTGACTTCCCATTAGGAGATTTTTCATAAGTTGTCACTTTACCATTTTTAATCTGCATTACAATTCTTGGTTTTTCCTTTGTATTTTCGTCATGTGGTTTAATCATTTGTTTCGGCCTGATTCCAAAGGCTACTTTTTCCCTGTTTGCAGGGAGCGGTGTTGAAGCTGCCGGTCTTCTTGTGTCATGACTAATATGAGAAATTGATGAAGAAGCACTGGTATGGGGTTTAATGACTGGAGTTGTTTTCCTCTGTACAAGCATTCCAACATCGTTGCTGTGATGAACTAAAACAAAGGAACATTTTATTCTTTTAATCTTATAAAATTCTCTGATCATTACCACATAAGTGCTTGAATTGATAGCAATGTTATTAAGTAAGAAACCATTTTTAACATTACGAGCTGACATATGCAATTTTCATTTGATGAAAAAAAAAATATATACTGAAAAATGTTGATGCCAAACAATATACTGAAGACTGTTGATGCCACAATTACCTGATCTGGTTCAACTATTTATATCTGCATAGTTTCTGTTTTTAATATCTCTTTTATTCTGCAGAATGTCACACATTGAATACATTTAAACATTTGCGCGGATTAAATTTGTTAAGTATGAATAAAAATATGACTGAAGATAAAATTTTCATTTAGTTATAATTCTTACAAATTCTATAGAAAATGCATTCACCCACAGGTAAGTAATTTGAAACTTCTTTTTAAAAAATAATTCTGAGACCACAAAGTATTCAATCAATTCAACCATTCAAGTCCTAAATTTCACACTACTATAATTGATAATGAAGTGTCAAAACAATCCTGAAAGATATCTAAACAGGGAATGCATTTGAAAGTGGAAATCATTCAGTGTTCTCTCCAGGCTTTTATAGAGATGCAGTTTACAGCCTTATCACATTTTTAAATCAGTATGATTAGATTGTGAATGTACCTCAGCTGAATCAATTTTTTAAAGTCTTTAATTTCCGAGGCTTACATGTTTAATTTTGTTCACATGATCACCTAGTTAAATGACTGAGTGTGTATATTTACCTCGAGATGTCAACTATTTAGAACCCAGTTCAATAAAAGATAACAAAATGGCGTTCTTGCCAAGATTTCTACATTTCTTTCAAGTTTTTGACTAAAACTTCACAAGTTATAGAATGATTCCATTGATAAATTCCCACCTTCAAAAAATATAAAGATAGGAGATATATTGGATGTATTTTCACATATAAAGACTAAAATGAAAATACTCCTGGTGTAAGGGTACTACTTTAAAACTTTTCAAAGCAAAACAAATATTTTCCTTTAAGGAGACAGATCTCTTGTCTACCATGTTAACACATGTATTTTAATCTTACAAGTTTTAAATTCAATGACATAAAATATTTCATCTTAAAAAGATTATCACACAATTTTACATGTAGTAAACACATCTTATAAGAAAACAACATTACTTTAAAATATTCCAAATATATCATTACAAAATTCATATTAACATTAACCAAGGCATTTATTCTTTTATTATTTAAACTAATTAAAACATAACTTCTGTCCATTTCTGTTTATTTATATGTTTAGAAATATAGTTTTTATATATTTCTTTATTAAAACAAATAATATGAACAACATAACATTAAAGACTAAGATCCTACCACGGCACAAAAAGTGAATCAGCCAAATATAGCATGCATACCATAGGGTTATTAAATAATCCTGAGAGAACACGTGAATCAGCCAAATATAGCATGCATACCATAGGGCTATTAAATAATCCTGGGAGAACACGTGAATCAGCCAAATATAGCATGCATACCATAGGGCTATTAAATAATCCTGGGAGAACACGTGAATCAGCCAAATAAAGCATGCATACCATAGGGCTATTTAATAATCCTGGGAGAACACGTGAATCAGCCAAATATAGCATGCATACCATAGGGCTATTAAATAATCCTACGAGAAGACGTGAATCAGCCAAATATAGCATGCATACCATAGGGCTATTAAATAATCCTGGGAGTACACTTGAAACAGCCAAATATAGCATGCATACAATAGGGTTATAACATAATCCTGGGAGAACACGTGAATCAGCCAAATATAGCATGCATACCATAGGGCTATTAAATAATCCTGGGAGAGCACGTGAATCAGCCAAATATAGCATGCATACCATAGGGCTATTAAATAATCCTGGGAGAACACGTGAATCAGCCAAATATAGCATGCATACCATAGGGCTATTAAATAATCCTGGGAGAACACTGAGTCCTGACCATTAAAATTTCATTTGGGAGCTTTGAATGTGCAACAAATAAAGAACTGGTCATCAAAAACATTTCATACTTCTGTATACCGTAGAAAGGCTTGTATAGTCTGCGGTTTTATTCTCCAAAATTGGACCTTCCAGACGGGGTGCGGACTATAGAGTACAATAAGCAAGCAATAAGAGAAAAATTTCAATTTCGCAGGCGAGGTGGTTTGTTTACGTTCCGCCATCTTTGTTATTTATATTGTAGAGGGCGCTCTTATCATTTTTCAAACTAATAATTTTAACTCATCCATATTAATAAGTTATTTCTATTCAATATCAAATTAATACTGATAAATATAAAAACTAAACCTTTCATTCCAATTTTTCGTTTCTTTTCAATGCATTGGTTGAAATAAACTGGTATCTGCTTGATTGAAACGATACAAACATAGTGAAAAAGACAACGGTAAACCAGCTTAGAATTTGGAAACTACAAAACGTAATTGGTTATTGTTCGTTCCATTTTGGTGTTTCATACTGACTAATATGGTTTGTATTAGCTTAAGACCCTTCAAACATTAATGTGATAGATATATTAAAGACTGTTTTACAAAAGGATGGAACTGTTTTACTTTCAAAGTCGTATTATAGTGATATCTGTTACGTACGGATTTCGACTCTTGCCGGTTCTTTTACACGTGCTTTTTAAACTTCCTGTTTAAACATACACAAGTTTCTAAATTGTTTTTAAGTGAATTAAACTTATTTTAACAATCATGAAGCGTTCTAGAATCATTTACAAGCAGTTTCAGCTTCTGTTTGATGATGGAAAACAGGTTTTTCCAAGAAAATACCGCAAACGACCGCACAGGATTTGAAATTACCGGAGTTTCATTAGACCTTTTCTAACAGTTACAAAAAGTTTTTTTACTTAAAATTTCGTGGGGAGAAGGGGGTGCAGACTATGTACCAGTGCGAACTATACAAGCCTTTCTATGGTATTAAGCTTTTACCTTTTATTCCATTTACAGCTGTGCTGAATTTGTTGTTAATGTGGTTATTTGGTTGTACTGGTCCAATAAGATGTGTCTGTAAAACAAAAAAGGAAATCAAATTTACATCATATTACTTTTCTATAAGGTTGAAATAAGTGGTTATACAGCATATACCTTTTAGAATGTATTCCAATATCTTAAGAGATAATATGCATCTTTTCAGCAGCACATGGGTTTGTCAGAGAATTTCTCGATAGGATATTACATCATAATCAACATTAAGCCAAGTTATTTTAATATCATCTTAAATCTTATTTAAAATTGTACTGCACAAATTTAACTAAATTTCTAAAATTGTCCTACTTGATGGTGCTATGAGATTGTCTGTATCTGTAGTGTTGACATATTTTACAATTCAAAAGCTATTTTACCTTTTGTTTCTGTACAGATGGTTTAACTTTACTGTAAAACAGCAGATAAGCTTCTGAAGATAAGACTCGAGCTGCACTGACCTGGGTAACCTGAAAACATAAATGTTCATCCATATTTAATTTCATTCACAAAAATGTAGTCCAATTTCACAATTGAATATAACTTCTTACAATCAAAATTACACATCACTTCCAATTAAAAGGTTATCGTTAAACCTTTTAGTTGAACATTTTTGGCTTAATCTTCACTAAGTAAAAGGACTTTTATGAAGACAGTAGTTCACTTGAAGGTTTTCTTATCTTATGTAAATGCTATTTTCATACATTTTCACAACACACAATGAAAATTGCCTGTAGATACTAAACAAACTAAAGATTGAGGCAGATTTCACTAAAATGTAAATGAGTGAGTAGATCTTACCATAGAATCATTCATGCAGTACCATATTTGACTTGGAGACTTGACATAGCAGTAGTAATGACCAGAATTACAATGTACTCCTGAGTGTACTAACACAGCATATAGACTGTACTGAACAGGTTCACCCTGAAACAATCAATATGTCAAAAGTCACTTAATCTTGACTTTTGCGAACAAAACAAAATTGAATCATAAGTCCAATACATCTTTATTTAAAAAGTACAAGCATACTCCACAGTATTTTCAATTAGCACCATGGGATTTGAAATAGAACCTTTTCTCTTAAATTATAGCACATCTAAAATACATTCTGTTATATAAAATCTATTCACATAACACCAGCATGGTGCTTTAAGGGTTGGGAAAAACACAAGGTATATTAAACAAATATCAGCAGGGAAAAATTAAGTAATTTTAAAAGAACAGAAAATAATTGATTAATTTGAGACTACAGCTATGAATATTTACCTGTCTAATACTCATGTAAGGTCTGATGTTTAACTTTTCAGGGAAGTTGATGTGTCTTGTAATCTTACCCATCATTCTATGGAAATCAAACCTAAAAGATAAATATATTACATCTTATAAAACATAGTATTAGAGATTAAAAGGAGATGGGTAGTTTAATCCTGACCCATGTCCAGGTATCATTCCAAGTCTGGAAACTCACCATTGGTTGTCATACGTTATTATATCTAAATGTGTTATGTCATTTTGAGAATGTTGTGATGACAGATCTTTAGATTGTCTGCTAAATGTATTCAATACTTTTTTTAGGCTTGGAGATATATAGCTTATCACATTTTATTGTAGGTCTTTTGGGGTTGTTTTCTCTCTGTATGTGTGTATGATAAGATTAGTGACATCTTTTTTCTTTCAGACCTATGTTCAAGATCTTAAATAATATAATACCAACCTTTTAAAGGATATTGTTAATACATTTGGAGGTTTATGAACAGAAAACCTTTTCTGAGCTGGTACCTTCTGTTTACATCTACAATAAAATATATCTTTGTAAGAGATTGGTATTTAACATCATACTTTTATCACATACATCATTATATGGTTTCTACATGGTTTCATTTGGAGAGTGAAATTAATTACTTTTTTCTTACCCCGGTTTGACTGTTTGATTAAAATGGCAATAAATGTCACTTCTTTGCACATCAAGAGAAACCTTATAAAAATTTCTCATCACCCTAAATTACAAAATCTAACTAGAAACAAAAAACATTCTTTAATATAAAATGGATGTGCAAATTGAAGCAAGGTCAAAATCAATACAAAGACATTGTTCTGCTTCATATATTGATTTATTTATAATATTACTATATTGGTTGCTATTAATTTGCTTTTAAATGGTTCACAAAGTTGTACCAATTTCTTCTTCTTCTTCATCAAGTGTAAATTTTATTTAATTACACTGTATATAATTCACAAAACATATGGTATAACAAGTGTTTACCTATAGACTAATTTCATATATTACTCACTTTGTACACATGTAAGCATTTTCATTGTCTAACATCTCAGGAAGAACATACTTCTCAAAAGCTTTCTCAAGGGTTGGTACATTCTGAAAACAAATGTGATCTTTAGTAATTATCAATTTTCAGGTATATGAGACACGCTGAACTTATTTTCCTTTCATTAATTAATTCTTATTTTTTTATATTCATATCTTTTCAGTTTTCTTATACTTTGGCACAGACATCAAAATTTGAAATGGGCACATTTTTTAAATTAAATTTGGTATCAATATTCTTTCTTGTCTTTGCTGTTTTAACCTTAACTTAATTAGTAAGGGCTATTCAAGAAAAAACAATGAGGGGGTTGGAAGGCACAATTTTTTTTATGGCCATAGCCCATAGAATTGCATTTTACTATGCATACATAACCACACAATTTGTACTTTTAAACGTGCCCCCACCCATACAAAAATAATTAAAGTATTAAAGTGCCTCCCCCCCCCCCCTGTATATTTTTTCTGGAATAGCCTTAATGAAAATCAAGCAAATAATAAACTACCACATACAAGACGATGAAACACTCCATGGCGTTTGCAACATTCTATAACTTGTCATAAGCAAGGTATAACGGATAAGCATACTTATACTTAAATTCATTGCTCATTGTTTTTTTTAAAACAAGTAAAACCTTTCATTTCCATACCTTGATATCTAAACTTATGTCCAGAAGGGGGTCGTATGTATTGGATCTCTCTTTACACTTCAAACATTGAACTGAAAAAGTCAAAACAAAATATTACAAATTCTACATATTTCAGTTTATATCTAAGCATACATAAAATCATCTTTTGTACAAAGGTCCCTTTTTTGAAAGCATATCTTTCTGCCATCAACATGAACTTAAACACAGCAATAATTTTGTACCATCATTTAAGCAAATTTACTTCAATTTTGATTCATTAATTCTCCTTGCAGAATACTAAGAAGCTTCAAATTGTATCAATCTATTCTGCTGCCCTTTAAATAATGTCATAACACAATAAAATGCTCCGCTGGGGCGCAGCTTGATACGACCGCAGAGGTCGAACCCTGAACAGTTGGGGCAAGTATGGACACAACATTCAAGCTTGATACAGCACTGAATTTGGATTGTAATTAAATATTTGACACAGCATAGGTTTCTCACACAGAATGAAAGTAGTCTAAGAACTTAAAATTTTTTAATTTACCTATTCAAACCATATCATTATTATTTGCTTTTATATATAAATCAGAAATAACCAATTTAAAATGGAAAATTTTAAAGAAAAAAAAGGAAAAAAAAATCCCCCCCCCCCCCCCAAATTTTTTGAAACCCCCTTATGATTCATCACCCCCAAACTCAATCCCAGCCTTCCCTTTGTGGTATGGTACCTTGCAGTACAATTTCAGAGAGATCCATACACTTGAACACAAATTATTGTCTGGAAACTAGAAAAATGCTTGGGTTTTTTGCACCTTTTTGGCCCCAAATTTCTAAAAGTTTAGGGCAATTACCCCCAAACTCAAACCAAGCTTTCCCTTTGTGATATGGAACCTTGCAGTACAATGTCATAAAGATCCATACACTTACACACAAGTTATTGTCATGAAACTAGAAAAATGCTTGTTTTTTTGCCCCTTTATGGCCCCTGACACAGAATGAAAGTGGTCTAAGAACTTAAAAATTTTCAATTTACCTATTCATACATGTGATGGACTGTGAAACTCAGATCAGGAGATTGGGAAATTTTGGTCAGGAGATTAGGACTCAGATCAGGAGGTTTTTAATCGACATTAATTTTGTTGTAAATGTAACCGTGTGCTGTAAAAATGGTCTTTTAAAGTGTGTTTTCTTCAACTTTCCATCCAATTTATTATGTTTATAGTACCCTTGTACTTATAAAGTTTCTCCATCTTTATATTCTACATGTTCAATCTAACATTGTATTTTTCCAGTATGTTCTTTAAATTTTTTACTTCATATTCTATAAAACAATCATTGCAACCAGAACATTTGTTTAGCTATTTGCATTTTATTTTTTTCTCTTGCATATAGTTTTTATTTTTTTTTTTATCTTTATGCATATAGTTTTTATTTGCAAACTCAGAAAATCATTTTATCTGTAAATTTAGGGTCATAGTTATTATATAAATTTCAATTTAAGCCTTGAAAGGAAGTCTAGAATCCTCAAATAATTTTCAAATTATTATTTTTTTATTTGTCCTAAGACATTTAAAATCATTTAATAACCATCCTTTTATGATTATTTGTTCAATTTATATTTTATTTATATTCTTTTAAAAATTTTCATTATTAAAAGGAAAGTAACTTAAAACAGGATAAATCAAGGGAAGTAACCCAATAAATACACAGTTTTTGTAACACAACGGCAGTTAGCCTGAGGTAAAAATCGTTGATTACCTGTATGTTTGACACCCAAGCTAACAAGTGAAGCCATATAATTATGCATGTTAATTGATTTACAGGTAAAATATAACTTCAGGTAATGTCAGTTACACCAGATGCCTGAGATGATATGTTGGGCAGAAATTTTTCATTCATGAAAAATTTCATACACGGGATTTTTTCCTCTTCAACGGGAGGTCGGGAGGAGACCCCTGAAAACGGGATTATTGTACTCCCGTCGGGAGGTTCACATGTATGCCTATTCAAACCATATCATTATTATTTGCTTTTATATATAAATCAGAAATAACCAATTTAAAATGGAAAATGTTAAAGAAAAAAAAGGAAAAAAAAATTCCCCCCCCAATTTTTTGAACCCCCTTATGATTCATCACCCCCAAACTCAATCCCAGCTTTCCCTTTGTGGTATGGTACCTTGCAGTACAATTTCAGAGAGATTCATACACTTGAACACAAGTTATTGTCTGGAAACTAGAAAAATGCTTGTTTTTTGGCCCCTTTTTGGCCCCAAATTCCTAAACGTTTAGGGCAATTACCCCCAAACTCAATTCCAGCTTTCCCTTTGTGATATGGAACCTTGCAGTACAATTTCATAAAGATCCATACACTTACACACAAGTTATTGTCCTGAAACTAGAAAAATGCATGTTTTTTTGCCCTTTTATGGCCCCTAATTACTAAAATTTTGAGGGAAAACCCCCAAAATCAATCCCAGCCTTCCCTTTGTGATATGGAACCTTGTAGTACAATTTCATAAAGATCCATACACTTACAAACAAGTTATTGTCATGAAACTAGAAAAATGCTTGTTTTTTGCCCCTTTTTGGCCCCTAATTCCTAAAATTTGGAGGAAATTACCCCAAAAATCAATCCCAGTATTCCCTTTGTGATATGGAACCTTGTAGTACAATTTCATAAAGATCCATACACTTACAAACAAGATATTGTCATGAAACTAGAAAAATGCTTGTTTTTTGCCCCTTTTTGGCCCCCCAATTCCTAAAATTTGGAGGCAATTACCCCCAAAATCAATCCCAGCATTCCCTTTGTGATATGGAACCTTGTGGTACAATGTTAGAGAGATCCATACACTTACACACAAGTTATGTCTGGAAGTTACAAAAATGCTTATTTTTGGCCCCTTTTGGCCTCTAATTCCTTAACTGTTAGTACCATAACCCCCAAAACCAATCCCCACCTTCCTTTTGTGGTATTGAACCTTATGGTAAAATTTCATTGAGATCCATTCACTTAAACTAAAGTTAGAGTGCGAAAACTAATGTGTATTCGGACGACGACGCCGGACGACGACGACGCCAACGTCATACCAATATACGACCACAAAAATTTTTTGCGGTCGTATAAAAATGACATCATAGTCATGGCTAAAAATAAACAAAATCCTTAATCAGCAACATTTTACAGTAATATCTAAAAATAAAATTCCTTTGTAACCATAAAAGCCCATTTAAATACATCATGACAGATATTAAAATAGAAAATGACATCATAGTCATGGCTAAACATAGCAAAAACCTTAATCAGCATCATTTAACAGTAATATCTAAAAATAAAAATTTCTTTGCAACCATAAAAGTAAAATAGAAAATGACATCATAATCATAGCTAAAAATAAACAAAATTTTTTTTTATTACCAAATTTAAATGGAGTTTATTAAACTAAAACAATAAATTTGCAACCATAAAACCCCATTTAAACACATCATAAAAGTATTAAATAATTCAACTACATCATAAGGCTATAAAAATAGAAAATGACTTCATAGTCAAGGCTAAAGGTAAACAAAAAACCTTCATCAGCAAAATTTTATATTGGCAAATTTCCAATGAAGTTTATTATACTAAAATTGTTGGCAAATTTCCAATGCATTTATTAACAATAAAGTTATTGGCAAATTTCCAATTTACATAATTTAAAAGCAGTGTAAGTGAGATATTTAAATGAGTTTGAATTACCAACCTTACACTGCTTTTAAATAATGTTTTGTACTTATTTGTCTATTAACCTGGAAACCCTTGTTTTTTCACCTTTTTTTCCCTTATTATTTAAAGGTTTGAGCCATAACCCTACCCCAAAGCCAATTCTTAAATTCCAATGTAACCTAAATTTACAATATACATAACTTCAATTTAAGTTTTTGATAAAATCAAACCACATCATTATTATTTGCTTTTATATCTAAATCAGAAATAATTAACCAACTTTAAGTGGAAAATTTTCACACATCACACCCCCCCAAACTCAATCCCAGCCTTCAGTTTGTGGTATGGTACTTTGCAGTACAATTTCACAGAGATCCAATTACTTAAACACAATTAATTGTTGGAAACTAAAAAAAAATGCTTATTTTTAACCCCTTTTTTAGCCCCTTATTCCTAAACATTTGAGCAATTATCCCCCAAACTCAATTCCAACTTTCTCTTTGTGATCAGAATTAACCAACTTAAAATGGAAAATTTTAAAGAAAAAAAAAGGAAAAAAAATCCCCCCCCCCCCCAAAATTTTTTGACCCACTTCCCTTTGTGGTATGGTACCTTTAAGTACAATTTCAGAGAAATCCATACACTTGAACACAAGTTAATGTCTGGAAACTAAAATAAACTGCTTCGCTGAGCGCAGCTAGATACGCCCGCAAAGGTCCAACCCTGAACAGTTGGGGCAAAAATGGACACAATATTCAAGCTTGATTCAGGTCTGAATTTGGATTGTAATTAAATATTTGACATATTATAGGTTTCTGAATAAATGTAGTCAAAGAACTTGAAATTGGTTATATGAATTGAATTTATATTCAATTAAAGATTTCTTGCTGTTGTGCAATACTTAGTAAATCTGTTGTCAGACTATAAACAAATAAAGTTCAATTAATTCTCAATGTCATGAGAATTGGTGACAGTATTTTTGAGTTATTGTCCGAAAACTGGAAAATCACCCCTTTTTTTAATGAATAAAACCCCATAACTGAGAAATGTAAAATGTAAAATTTATAAAATTCTAAAGGGAGCTTACATCAATACATACAAACAATTCACCAAAGTTTCATAAGAATTGCTGAAAGCATTTTTGAGTTTTTGTCCGAAAACTGGAAAATCCCCCCTTTTTTTATGAATAAAACCCTGTTACTCGGAAACGTAAAATCTTAAATTTATAAAAATCGAAAGGGAGCTCATGTCAATAGATATAAACAATTCACCACACTTTCTTGCAAGTTGGTGAAAGCAATCTTGACTTATTGTCCGAAAACTGGAAAATCCACCTTTTTTTAATGAATAAAACCCCATAACTTGGAAACGTAAAATCTAAATTTTATAAAAAACGAAAGGGAGCTCACGTCAATAGATATAAACAATTCACCAAAGTTTCATGCAAATTGGTTAAAGCATTTTTGAGTAAATGTCCGACATGTTGACGACGGACAGACGGACGGACAGACGGACAACGGTATACCATAATACGTCCCGTAAACGGGGGTATAAAAATGCTTATTTTTGCCCCCTTTTTTGGCCACTTATTAATAAATGTTTTGGGCAAACATTTTACATTATATTTTAAAACTGAAATTAATTTGTAACCTTAAAATTAAATAGAAAATGACATCATAGTCATAGCTAAAAATAAACAAACTATTGGTAAATTTCCAATGGAGTTTATTATATTAAAACAATAAATTTGCAACCATAAAAGCGCATTAAAATACATCATAAAAGTATTAAAAAAAATTTAACGACATCATAAGGCTATTAAAATAGAAAATGACATCATAGTCAGACTAAAGGTAAACAAAAAACCTTCATCAGCAAAATTTTATATTGGCAAATTTCCAATGAAGTTTATTATACTAAAATAATTGGCAAATTTCCAATTTACATAATTCAAACATAGTGCAGGTGAGATATTTAAATGAGTTTGAATTACCAACCTTACACTGCTTTTAAATAATGTTCTTTACTCAATTATTTGTCTATTAAAATGGAAACCCTAGTTTTTTAACCTTTTTTCCCCTTATTCCTTAAACGAAAAAAAATAATTACCCCTTTTTTGACCCCCCCCCCCCCTATGATTCATCACCCCCCCCTTCCCCCCCAAACCAAGCTCAATAACAGCCTTGCCTTTGTGGTATGGTACCTTGTAATACAATTTTAGAGAGATCCATACACTTGAACACAAGTTATTGTCTAGAAACTAAAAAATGCTTATTTTTCACCCCTTTTTAGGCCCCTTATTACTAAACGTTTTGGGCAATTACCACAAAACTCAATTCCAGCTTTCCCTTTGCGAAATGGAACCTTGTAGTAAAATTTCAGAAAGATCCATACACTTACACACAAGTTATTGTCATGAAACTAGAAAAATGCTTGTTTTTTGCCCCCTTTTGGCCCCTTATTCCTAAAATTTCGAGGAAATTAACCCCAAAATCAATCCCATCATCGACCCTTTGTGATATGGAATCTTGTAGTACAATGTCAAAGAGATCCATACAATAACACACAAGTTATGTCTGGAAGTTACAAAAATGCTTATTTTCGGCCCCTTTTTGGCCCCTAATTATTTAACTGTTGGAACCATAACCCCCAAAATCAATCCCCACCTTCCTATTGTGGTATTGAACCTTATGGTAAAATTTCATAGAGATCCATTCACTTAAACTAAAGTTAGAGTGCGAAAACCATTGTGTATTCGGACGATGACGACGACGACGCCAACGTCATACCAATATACGACCACAAAAATTTTTTGTGGTCGTATAAAAACATATATACATACCCTGGCTTCTTAGAAATCCTCCAAAAATCTGATTAACTACCGTTGTTTCTTTGCTAAATTTGTCCAACCTAAAAGTATGAAATAATTCATAGAGCAAAATCATTCCCCCAAGTTTGTGTAATAGACAAGAAAATGTTTGGCGTACTATAAGGCCATTTGGCTTTTACTTCAATAAATATTGTAGTAAAATCGTTATCCATAACAAATTAAAATATTGAAATCATCAATACATCTAGTTTGTCCTCATTTCGTGTTGTAGAAGTTCTCTTTGCTACTTTATTTATATTCAATTTTTATGCTTGATTGTTTCTTGAAATATCTTTTTTACAACAGCCCTGGTTTTTTGCCATGTATATACTCTGCATGGTAAAAAGTATATTTGTTTTTTATTGTTTTTGAAGCAATTATTTTGTAGTTAATTGCCTTTTTTTTATAATTTTAGTCATATTTTCCCCCACTCACTTAGCAAATCCATTTAGGTTGTTATGACAGGACTTCTGCAAGGCTTCCACCAGATAGCGAAGAAATTCATGGGCATCTTCTTGTCTTCCCCAATGCATGTGTTTGGCAATCACTACAAAATAGTTCAATAATGAATAAAAAGGCTATTGTATGGGTAACTCTTTCTGGTTTTTGACCTGGGAGGTTGATGTTAATATAAAAGAATAGTTCATGAAACAAATGTTCTAGTTTTCCTTATGAATTTCAGTTTCAATCAATAAAATGAATACTTTATTTTTCATTGTTACAACATTCATACAGCTAAAATGAAGTAACTGTACATTGGATAATATGTGCAAATGCTTTAGTGCAATCTTATTGCAATATATGTATGGAACAATCATGTGACCTCACAATGTTCTATCTTTACTATATTTGTTTTTCAGGTCTAGTACCCAAATTCAATAAGAAAATATAATGTAGTTTGAATATTTTTGTTTAACAAATATCACAGAAACATTAATAACTTAACTGTAAAACATAAAAAAACATGTTGAGTTAATTAATGAATGTATATTATTATAGTTTTATGATTTTTCAAAAGCACTGAACAACATCAATTTCTGTATAAAGGATAACACAGTTTCATAGATGTTCCCATTTCAACACCACCTGTGTTCCAGTAAGCCACTAACTAAAGTCTCTGAAATTTAGCTGTCTCTCGTTTTTGTTTAAACCAATTCAATTACAAGTATTTTCTACAACCGAATGTTCATATGATTTCCTAGACCTTATATTTCTATATTGACACATTGTGGCATTAATTACAGCTTACATCTAAGTTTCTGTAATATTGACTGTGGTTTAATAGCATTTCCATAATTCTCATAACATCTTTTGATGTGTCTCTGTAACTCACACATCATACAAAATCCAGCTTGTTTACCTGTAAATATAGAAGGTATCAAGTTCAATCAAAGGTCTAGGTTATTATAACGTATACATTCACAAGTAACATAAAAAAAAAAAAATTTGTATTGATTTTAAAGCAGACAGTTTGCAGTTTCTTGATGTGAACAAGTTTAACAAATATAGATGAAAAGAATTGGAAATCATCTACCAAAAAAAAATTCTACATCAATTTTTCTTTTATATATCATTCAGACACAAACTTTGTCATTGTCTATCATAAATGAACAAGAAATTGTGTCCATTTCAAACTGTTCTTTTCATGTTTTTTTTTAATGGACTTGTCATTTTTCAGTGCCCCTTGGTACCTTATAACTTTTTTTTCCCAAAACCAGATCAACTTCTTGCATTAAGAAATTATGAGGATCAATTAAAATGTCATGCAGTCAATCTAGACATTCCTTTTGCTCCCCCCCATTTTTTGTTAAAGGAAAAAGCCTAGACATACATATGATAAGATTTAACAGGTCTTGCCTACAAAATATTATACTACTTACATGATGAATTGTGTTCATCACTCATGTAATAATTAACAAGAGGTGCTGTGTAAGTCAGACATTGTAATGTAGAGTTCAGGAAGCAAGTGTTGCCCATGTTGACTAGGCCAGCCCCAATCCTCTGAATCTTCCGCCATTCTAACTTGACGTTCTCCTCTGGGTACAACACCACTTTTGGTACAGGAAAACCATCTTCCACGTCTCCTGAACCATTCATTTTACGTTCTGAAAATTTAATTGTTGTTTTCATTAAAATTATTTCTTCTTGGACCTTTGCTACAGTTCATGTAAACATTTAGTAACACTGATCAACTAATGCAGAGACAAATGGCAATAAGACATGCTTCAAAATGTCAAATTTTTCAAGGATAAAAATTGGACAGCTCGGCTCTATTTAATTTTTTGCAATTTCAAAAATCATTTATTTAAACATTGTTAAATAATAAAAGTAAGGGATGCACTATCCCATTAAGCCCTGAATATTTTCTTCATGTTTAATTTGAAGGTTGTCACTGGCATGGTCATGTGAATACAAAATAAAATGCTCCGCAGGGCGCAGCTTGATACGACCACAGAGGTCGAACCCTGAACAGTTGGGGGAAGTATGGACACAACATTCAAGCTTGATACAGCTTTGGATTTGGATTGTGATTAAATATTTGACACAGCATAGGTTTCTAACACAGATTGAATGTGGTCTAAGAACTTAAAAATTTTAAATTGGACATTCACCTATTATGGTCCAATATCCAAAATCTAAATACATGGTTAGATTCAGCATATCAAAGAACCCCAAGAATTCAATTTTTGATGAAATCAAACAAAGTTTAATTTTGGACCCTTTTGACCTCAATGTGGACAAAGTTGATAACGGGGCCCAAAAATCAAAAATCTAAATACATGGTTAGATTCAGCATATCAAAGAACCCCATATATTCAATTTTTGTTGAAATCAAACAAAGTTGAATTTTGGACCCCGATTTGGACCAACTTGAAAACTGGGCCCATAATCAAAAATCTAAATACATGTTTAGATTCAGCATATCAAAGAACCCTAAGAATTCAATTTTTGTTAAAATCAAACTAAGTTTAATTTTGGACCCTTTGGACCTTAATGGAGACCAATTTGAAAACGGAACCAAAAATTAAGAATCTAAATACACGGTTAGATTCGGCATATCAAAGAACCCCAATAATTCAATTTTTGATGAAATCAAACAAAGTTTAATTTTGAACCCTTTTGACCTCAATGTGGACAAAGTTGATAACGGGGCCCAAAAATCAAAAATCGAAATACATGGTTAGATTCAGCATATCAAAGAACCCCATATATTCAATTTTTGTTGAAATCAAACAAAGTTTAATTTTGGACCCCGATTTGGACCAACTTGAAAACTGGGCCCATAATCAAAAATCTAAATACATGTTTAGATTCAGCATATCAAAGAACCCTAAGAATTCAATTTTTGTTAAAATCAAACTAAGTTTAATTTTGGACCCTTTGGACCTTAATGTAGACCAATTTGAAAACGGAACCAAAATTTAAGAATCTAAATACACAGTTAGATTCGGCATATCAAAGAACCCCAATAATTCAATTTTTGATGAAATCAAACAAAGTTTAATTTTGGACCCTTTGGACCTCAATGTGGACCAATTTAAAAACGGGGCCCAAAATCCAAAAACTAAATACACGGTTAGATTCAGCATATTAAAGAACCCCATGAAATCAAGAATAAAACCCCATTGAAATTGGTCAAGAAATAAGCAATTTATAGGAAGTATCTTCTTTTGCACAATCCTGTGCTATTAAATATTTCTTGCTATTGCGCAATACTGTACAATTGACAATTTCTTGCTATTGCGCAATATTGTGCTATTGGATATTTCTTGCTATTGCGCAATACTGTGCAATTGAAGATTTCTTGCTATTGCGCAATACTGTGCAATTGAAGATTTCTTGCTATTGTGCAATACTGTGCAATTGAAAATTTCTTGCTATTGCACAATACTTATTATATAATAATTTACACATCCTGTTTGGTGTGTATCTCCTACCATATCATTATTATTTGATTTTAAATATAAATCAGAAATAACCAACTTAAAATGGAAAATTTTAAAAGAAACAAAAAAGGAAAAAAAGAAAAAAAAGGAAAAAAAAAAAAAATCCCCCCCCCAAAATTTTTTGAACCCCCATTATGATTCATCACCCCCAAACTCAATCCCAGCCTTCCCTTTGTGGTATGGTACCTTGCAGTACAATTTCAGAGAGATCCATACACTTGAACACAAGTTATTGTCTGGAAACTAGAAAAAAATGTGTTTTTTTAACCCTTTTTGGCCCCAAATTCCTAAATGTTTAGGGCAATTACCCCCAAACTCAAACCCAGCTTTCCCTTTGTGATATGGAACCTTGTAGTACAATTTCAGAAAGATCCATACACTTACACACAAGTTATTGTCATGAAACTAGAAAAATGCTTGTTTTTTGCCCCTTTTTTGGCCCCTAATTCCTAAAATTTGGAGGCAATTACCCCCAAAATCAATCCCAGCATTCCTTTAGTGATATGGAACCTTGTGGTACAATGTCAGAGAGATCCATACACTAAGACACAAGTTATGTCTGGAAGTTACAAAAATGCTTATTTTTGGCCCCTTTTTGGCCCCTAATTCCTTTACTGTTATTACCATAACCCCCAAAATCAATCCCAACCTTCCTTTTGTGGTATTGAACCTTGTGGTAAAATTTCATAAGGATCCATTCACTTAAACTAAAGTTAGAGTGCGAAAACCAATGTGTCTTCGGACGACGCCGGAGACGACGACGACGCCAACGTCATACCAATATACGACCACAAAAATTTTTTTGCGGTCGTATAAAAATTCAAACTTGATCTGTGTTTTGTGGTAATAAGCATTGTGTATAAGTTTCATAACATATGGTTGAGGCAAACTAAAGTTAGAGAACGGAAACCAATTTTGGGACGTACAGACGGACAAGGGTAAAACTTAATCCTCTGCTATGGTGGGGGCATAAAAAGAATGATAAAGGAAGAAACATCTCTTCACTATGCAGGTAAATTATCATTTTAAGAAAGGATTTAATCTATGCCTGCATATAAAATATTTTATATATCAAATATTTTCATTTTCATTTTGGGAAAACATTTTCAGTTAACACATAGTTTATCTAGTTAAAATCATCTTGGTGGCGAATTTTCATAGTGAATGTTGGTGAATCAAAGTGATTCCATCTGAAATACATGTTTCCTCTGTATATATTATGTTATATATGAACATGGTCATAAATTAATAGTGTTATCACTACATTTTACAAGGAATCACTCTACACAGGCAAGAGTTATTTTGAAATGTTTCATCTTGTGTGTATACATGCATCTGTTTTTTAATATGTTATACACTTTCCCTCCAGTTACTGACCTTTTTTATGCTCAGCATCGCCACGGTCTTGATTGTTCTGGGAAGGGTTTAAGGGTATGTACTTCTTTCTTAATGAATCAATTTGCAATGAATATGGTTTCTCAGCAGGTTTAAATACAATCTGAGTCAAAAGAATCCTTTTAGATGATGAAGTAATATCACTATCTAAGTCTCCACCTCCAGAAAGGGACGACTTTAGAGTCTCCTCAATTTGGTAGATATTGTCAGAAGAACTTGCAGGCATAGCATTGATAATTAAATTCTATCTGAAAATTAAAAGAAAAAATCAAAAGTCAATATGACATCCAAATAGGTCACAATATATTGCACACGGGTCAAAAATAAGACAAGTGTTATTATCAAACATTAACAACTCTTTTACAACTCAGGATTCTTGAGGAAAAGTTTTAAAGTTCAATGGACCAAAACACTTGTTCAGCATGAACTATAAATATGATCTTTATTTCCATGTTTCTTCCAAAATATTAATAGATAATAACTTTTGATGCAATAACAATACAAAATTAAATCCCTTCTTTTTTCATAACGAAATAATGAGGGCATCTAAATTTGAATGAATTTCCCTTGAGTATTCTGAATTGTTACCAGGGAATTCCTGGATCATGACACAACTGCTAATGGCAATGAATTTTTGTACTTTAAATGCAGAAAATCAATATAATTATCAACTTGGTCATGTGAAATAATAAATAGTCTCTAGTGATAAATCAGCAAGTACGTGTAATATGCAACATGTGTTGTATTAATTTCAACAAGTTTATTGTAAATATAGTTGTTTGCTTCTTGTGATTCAGATGTTAGTCCAAGGTGAATTTAACAGTGACATCATCAACTAGAAAAAATAGAAATAAGATCTGGTAAAGTTCAGAATGAAAACTTAGGTCCATCTCTCTGAAGTCTAAACCCATCAAAACAAGAACTAGCAACATCAGAAGTATATAACAAATTTTTCACTCATTCATCATGGATGCCAACTGCAATACATTCTAAACATGAATTTATTAGACATTGCCTAAAAAGTTGCCATTCTAACTTTGGTTGACAATTGTCTCACTGGCAATCCTACCACATCTCCTTATTATTCTACAAAATGTATTACATTATATGTAGTTGTTGTATGCATTTAAAAGCAAAATTGTCCATCAACCATTGATGGACGGTTAAAAAAAACTGTTAAAAATAAAACTTAGATGAATGCTGATGTTTAACTTTAAACAATAACAATACTTATACTACATTTAAAATACATATTTCAAATGAATCAAATAATTGACTTTCAATATCTTTTTTAATTCATAATTAGTATTTTTTTCGAAGTCATACGCATGTTCCTGTTTAAGCTCAGTTGTTCCTCATAAGGATATTTAAAAACTTTCAGTTGACAAATTCGTAGAATGATAATGATATCCCAAATTGCGGTACCAAGATTTCCAGAAAACCGATAGATATTACCTGAAAAATTTATTTTGTATGGTGTTATACTGCTTTGACAGTTATTAAAGAATATAAATTTAAGATATGTTATTTTTACTAAAAAAATATACAATTTTACTTCGGGAATTTGATATGTGTGTCTTGTATGCAAGTTCCTTGTATAACAATATATATGGCAGATGAAATTATTCAAAAGGTAGACATGGCAGATAGCTTTATCTAAATAAAAGTATTTAGTCATTTTTTACAGTTTTAAATCTAAGTTTTCCAAATAATGTATTTACTTTTCAAATTTCCATCATAAGCAAATTAATCATTCAGTACTTTTTCATACTTTTATCTAGATAGAGTTATCTACCTTTTAAATAATTATATAGATCTGCCATACTGCTCTACTAGGAACTTGCATACAAAATGCACAAATCAAATTCCTGAAGTAAAATTGTACTCTTATTGAGTAAATGTTTTCTTTGTTTCCACATTTAATTGACAATAATGTATTAAATGAATATGTTTCATTCTATGATGAATGAAATTTCATCTGTGCATTATCAGATATATTTGTGATTATCTTCAAAAGATTTTAGGATATGTAGTCAGTGGATTTGATTTTGATGTTGAAGTTGTTGAATCTCATGACAATCTGGATTACTGCAGCGATCTTTACGTTGAAAACAAATTCTTCTTTAGTCATCTTGAATTAAACTTTATGATATTTAATAACATATACTTTTAAACTATGAGCTGTAAACTAAAGTAAAGTTCTATTGTTCAAAGCCATTTGTATAGTAGTAATACCTCATTAAAACTATTTTTTTATACCCTGAATAGTAATATACATGCAAGTCTTAACAGCTTTAAAGCACATTCTTTGGTATGTTTGGGATCAGCACATGTGAATTGTTTACAACTACATGTACCATGTTTATAATTTGAGTAAGCCCATACAAGTTTATAATATACAAATATAACTACATATATATGGAAAACTTTAAAATCTAACATTGTATCACGAAATATAAGAAGACAATCAACATAATGCAATGAAAATATTATAGAAAAACGAACACGAGTCAGTCGACAGCATGGCTTCTGTCAACTGCACCGGTTTCAATCTTTTGAGAGCTACAACTGAGTTTATACGAGCCGACATACATTGGTATCATGTTGAAACGAAAAAATGATATAAAATCAAAATACAGGAGTGTTAAATGATTGTGGGAACATGTAATTTGGAAACATAAATCTACCTGAAGATAAATCCAATGCATCAAAATGCAACATCCGGGGATTTGTACTAAATGATTGTTCCTTGCGCATGCTCTATAACTACAGAACAAGCTAAATTAAGTCATTCAATGTTCTAACTACGTTCAAACAAACAAACAAACAAACACACAAATATTTTAATTTGACAAGGATGAGCAGGTTATTCAATAATCACTATTATAACCAAAGACAATGAAAAATATTTTTTTTTAAATAATTATGACACGATTACAGTAGCTATTAATTCAATTGATCAACATTTTAAAAACATATGCAAGTATTATTTAAATGATGATAAGTCAGTATAATAGTGTATTGATGACCCATTCATTGTTTATTACTCTGAACCATAAAAAAACCTGACCAACGTAAATACAAAAACAACAACATTTCTCTGAAAAAAACACCGATTCTCTGAAATTGTCATCGACAAGATACTTGGTCACAGTCTAGTTGGGTTTAAAACTGTTTTTTTTTATTGACAACATACTTTTTTATTTATGAAGGCAATATTTTCATCAACAGACAATCAACATTCTTGTTGTGCATTTATTTGTATTTGACGACGTTCTACTCGGAAATCTCAAGAGGAATGAAAATAAACTAAACTAAACTTAAGTTCATGAAACTCTATATATTACATTCTTGCACTTAGATCTCGAGTTATATATGTTAAGGGTTGGGAATTATTGAACCAATGCATGCACATATACTAAACTAAGTCCTCAAATATGATATTTTACTATATGAATTTATATGCAGGCGTGGAATATATCCTCCCCAGAGTAAATGCTTTTTTAATTAATGCAACTGCAAGCTGCATTATTTTATATGATGACAAAATTATAATTTGCAACTATAGATTTTAATTTGATTCTGTGAATCCTGGATAGATCTATAGTTCAGTTCAATATCATTTTCAAGCTGCTTGCGAAATTTTTTTTCGCATCTTCAACTTCTGTATATATTACCATGTTTACGAATTCGATTTCTCCTTGAATTCTTGTGTATCTATCCTCTCTGTTTTCACAAAAATTTCACTTTTTCGCATTTTTCAAAAAAATCTTTCTTTTTAATCATTTTGAAGAATGTCTGTTCTCTTCTATATTTCCACAATAATGTCTTTCTGTTTTAAAAAATATTTTGAAGAATAAATTTGTCTGTTTCCTATTTTGTTTTATTTTTGCTGTATACACAAAGATGTTTACTTCTTTCTTTACTGAAAAATACCAGTTCTGTAGATTTACATAATTGATTATGTATGCTTTACGTCCAGTGGCAACCATTTCGTGCATATAAAGGAAGAGAGATTAATATAAACAAAAATTCGAAATTCACTTCTCTCATCGATACAGTTGTTGCTGATTATGATATTTTCTATTTAATTCATGGTCTCTCGAATAAGGAAACCGATTCATTTTTCAGAATAATTTGGGTTTTTTTTTAACGGAAAACAACATAAAAGAATAAGAATAAATGGAAATTGATGATGTGTAGTAGCAACGGCAACAAATTTTACTGCACCAGATGCGAATTTTGACAATCAATGTCTTCTTAGTGATTCTAGAGACAGACATTTTTGAAAATTCAAAACTTATACTAACGACGAAGAACTGATTAAACAAAAAAGGACCTAAACTATATGTCAAGTTCAATATTGTAGCTTATGGTTCTAAATATACCGACTTTTCAAAATTCTTGAGTGAAAAGAGGGAAACATTTGCTGCTCACCCTTGGCTTGTAATAACAACACAAAATCAATCAATATCTCTATTATAAAAAAGTCTAAATTGAAAACAACGTTCAAACCTATGATTGCATTGGATAAAAACCGCAATTTTTATACGTGTGCATACAAAACAAATTTCTTGGTAGAGGGGTCTAAATACAGCACAAACAACATTTTCCAAAAGACCACAAAGTGAAAAAGTATATTTTAACAAAACGCATTTGACTTGCAGAACAACGGATGTTCTTAAACCCTGCTGACTGCTATGGCGATTGTCAAATAAACGGATCACCAGATGTAACAAAATGAATCTTAATTATTAATTTAATACCAAACAGAAAACAATAAACTTGCGGAAAAGATGGTATTCAGCAAACATGAGGTTCAAAACTTTGTACAGCATATCCGGATTTCGACAATTAATGTCTCTTCAGTGATGTTAGAAATCGAAACGGTTTATGGAAGGCCATATAATTTACCTCAATTTAGGATTGACTCTTGAATTTTGAAGAGTCGAAATATAGGATGAACGGATTATATTAACCCGAAGGCAAATATAATACAAGCCCAAACGAAAAAAATATAAACAAGTCTAAATTGAAAACAACGTTCAAACCTATGATTGCGTTGGATAAAAACCGCAATTTTTATACGTGCGCATGCAAAACAAATTTCTTGGTAGAGGGGTCTAAATACAGCACAAACAACATTTTCTAAAAGACCAAAAAAGTGAAAAAGTATATTTTAACAAAACGCATTTGACTATCAGGTCGAACAACGGATGTTCTTAAACCCTGCTGACTGCCATGGCGATTGCCAAATAAACGGATCACCAGATGTAACAAAATGGGTCTTAATTATTAATTTAATACCAAACAGAAAACAACAAACTTTCGGAAAAGATGGTATACCGCAAACATGAGGTGCAAAAATTTGTACACAATATCCGGATTTCGACAATTAATGTCTCTTCAGTGATGTTAGGAATCGAAACAGTATTTGGAAGGCCATATAATTTACCTCAATTTAGGATTGACTCTTGTATTTTGAAGAGTCGAAATAGGATGAACGGAAAATAATATATCTATTATATCTATATATTTTAATAACAAAATATTAACAGGTAGTGTAAATAAATATACGGAACCACCAGTATAACAAGAGTACTTGGCCATCTATAATATAGCCCATTTATGTACTGTCTAAAACAGGAAATTTCAAAAAGGACTTAATTGTTGGTATTTTCATAACGGCGTCTAACACAAGTACGATGTTCCTTGAATATGCATTGAGATTTATGCCATTGCATGGACGTACACTGGATTAAGCTTGTTTTTACGTTATGAACACAGTGCGTGTAGTAGTCAGACGAGAACCACTGAGCTCATGCACGGACGTTAAGCACACACCAATCAATCAATTACAACTACAATGGAAATGATCCTTTTAGCTTCGAATATGTCTGAATGTCACTGAGTGTGTAATGATATTATTAAATTTTATCTTCCATAACGTAACTCTATCTTTAAACACAACAAACAGTTAATCAGTTAATTCACACGCTTTGTTAAAGAGACGATTTCCCGTTAATTAATAATATTGTAATTAAATAATACTCCTGGGTCTGAAAATCTGTTTTCAACATAGGATTAGGATTGGAAACACGCATATTATAGTGACAATACAATTTAATGTCCTGACATAAAGATAGGACATACAAAAAATTATGAACTTAATATTCTAATCACGGGCTAACAATTAACAGAAGTACATGCCACCCTCATCCGATTTTAACACCTTCTTTTGACTACGAAATAAACCAGTTGAAGATGTAACTTCTCAATGCTGAGTGTTTAGCAAAGAAGCAAGAAGTACCCGAATGTTTTTGTTCATTTGTTCATTAAGTTTTTAAGTAAGATTTGTGTTAGTCTCTCTTGAAGTTATTGTACAAATGTTCTAGACACTGGATAGAAGCTTGGCATATGGTATAAAGCTCGTCTTAAAGGCCGTATGTTGACTTTGTTTTTTAAATGTTTGTTTGTTTATTTAGTTTAGTTTTGATTTATTTTGTTTGTTTGTTTATTTTAATTTGTTTTGTTTTCAAGTTCTTTTATTTCTTTGTGGTTTTTGTGTGTGTGTTGGGGGGGGGGGGGGGGGGGGGGGTAGCTAGGGAGTTTGTGTTTGATTAACCTTTACCCATCACATATTTTATATACATATTTTAACGTAGGTTTTTTACTCTAACATTTAATGGGTCTTGTTCTGGGGTGTCAGTTGATATTAGCTATCCTTACTCCTGGTCTCATACTACTCACACCATTTTACTTGATATATTATCAACTTGTTTTTGTTTTGAAAGTCACGAAATATTTGCCACTGCACGTTCAATATTCAACCATGCATCTATCAATGGGAGTGTTTGCAGGACTCAAAGTTTGCGACAGGTTTAATAATCGCTTATCGGAGCTGTCACTCTTTGGACAATTTTCATTAAAATTGCCACATAACCTTAAGTTAGAAAAATTAAAGGAAAATAAGAATAACTTTTGGGAAATTGATAAAAATTATCATAGGCGAACAACCAAAACAGGCATGGTCGTTTTAACAACATGGTATCCAGGTTTAAGACTCTTTCTGACGAGGGCTCCTTTTTCCTATCTCTAATGTGTAGATACAATGCCTCGTTCGGTCTTATTGGGAACACTAAACTTATAGCAAATAAACTCATCATAGATACCAGGATTATAATTTTGTACGCCAGACATGTGTTTTATCTACAAAAGACTCATCAGTGACACTTGAATTAAAAAAATTAAAAAGGCCAAATAAAGTACGAAGTTGAAGAGCATTGCGAACTCCAAATTCCGAAAGATTTTTGCTAAATACAACTAAGGCACTCCATTCCTTTTGTATAGAAATTCTTTGAATTTCGAAACATTCAAATAGAAAAACAAAGGATATGGGATATCCATCCATGACACAAAATCAGTACATGTACAGCAAAAAAATAAACACACAAAAAGCAAAAGAACAACGTTGTTATTGCTGTTCTTCATCTCAAAGTTACAGTGAGGCCTTCAGAACGGAGTCAAAAAAATCTTATATTACTGCAAGTTTAAGACGGTCCCTAGCACCGGCTTGAGTGGAATTCTTTGCAAAAATAATTTGGATAGACTTTGTAAGCTGTAACAACACAAACTCTGGAAAGTAGTACAGATTTAAAACAAAATAGTTCCTAAACATTGGTGTAAATATAAAACTATGTAGAATATGTAGAATTTTAGTAATCAAGGTATCAGATGAAA